CATAAGTCTTCTCGTCCACCTTCGCGTACTTACTCAATCCCTATCTTTCTACACGGCGTACCGCTCTTTGACAACATAATCCAACCTAAACAATTTCAAAAAAAGCTATAAATCTATAATAATAATTAAGATGATATTGTATAAGAGGTAAATATTAAAAAACAAACGGACATACTTCGCACGATGGGTGGGCCACTGTTGTTGGTGGGAAGTTGGAAAGATAGAGAGGAAATTGAATGTGTATTTGTACGCAACGATTAACCATTGTAAACGAAAAACGATTCTGAGCGGAGTTCGGTTATACGCGTTTTGAAAGGCCGTAATATATGTACGTTTTGAAAAATACAATACATTTGGTACATTTTCCCGGTTTTTCTCATTTATTATGAAAACCTTGGAAAAATCAAAAAATTACTGCATTAAATAATCATCCCAATCTAATTTCCCCAAAGTACTACAGTTGAAAATCGAAGCGAAATTTCTGGTAGAAAAATTGTTCACAAAAAAAAAAAATAAACATCATTGTAAAACCTATCTAAAATTCTAGATTCTAGAATCTAAAATTTGTCAACGGTAACTATATTCGAGATTTCCCTTGCTCTTCTCTCCCTATCTATCAACACAGTTCAGTTAATTAATACGACATATTGTTATCGAACATCGGTAAAACATTTCGATTTTTTTCATTTAAATAATATAACGTATACGTATTTGTATTTTGTAAATATTTATATATAAATATACAGTTGAACGCGTCATCTTGTGTGTTCGCTGCGAATGAATCTAGTGGTTTTCCGATAGGCGGGCAGTGTCGTACGCTCGCACAAATAAAATGTTTGTACCGTTTCCCGTTACGGACACACTCCGCAAAGACATCGCCGCGCGCACGCCATTGCATACACCGCGCGGGGTTTTAGCCGGTGCAATAGCGCATTGATGTTTTTTTTTTTTTTTTTAATTCGCCCATTTAGCAGGTACCTACGCCCGCGGCGTATTGAAACTTTTGAATTGAATGTAACGCGCGCGCGCGCTCGTTTATTGTAAAATCTGCGCTAAATACGCGTACCTATGCGTGAATCACGGCGAATAACGTGCGCGCGGAATTCGAAACGTACGTCAAAGGAAAATTGAAATCGCCGTGAAACTTTTAATGCGCGCGCCCGCCCGCCCGCCCGCCGCCCGTCCGATTACCGTGCCGCCGTGCGCGTAGGGGCAAAACGTTTTGAAATAATTAGCGTAATTGGAACGTCTGTACTGCGCGCAAACAGAGCGCGTTAAACGCGTCCGCGTATACGAATAAAATGATACAGTAATTAATTGTGTACGTCCGAAAGCCTATACACAGATCGCGCGCGCGCATCCGCCCGCCGCGAATGTCGCGACGTCCTCTGTCCGGCGTCCGCGTTCGTTTCGCGGACGTCGCGCGTGTCGCAGTCTTACGGGCGCGTGATATTTGCTGCGCGCCGTGCGAACCGGCTGTCCGACGTTCTCGGCACCGTTCCGCCGACGCGGCGAACAGGCAGCTGCACGCGGTCCTATCGACGGTTCCGGACGAAACGCGGGGCGCGCGCATTTCGAGCCGTTTCGTTCGATTAACCGATACTTCGGCCCGCGCACGCGTAATGAAAAGAATCGTTCTTTCAGTAATCGCCGAACGGAACATTACACAAAACGCGTTGTGCACCGTGCATTTTTTTCTTCTTCTTCTTCTTCTTTTGTCCCGAAAATGTGATAATAACAATATTAACATTTCGAAATTCAAAAACGCTTTTTTCGACTTGAACGGTTATCGTTACGCGCATTGTACCACCACACCGACGTATAATTAACGTGTGGGCAATACAAACAATAATAACACGGTATTATTATGCCGCGTTTATGCGTGTGAATTTACTCCATCGATACCGATAATTATTATGACGTGACCTTCCCCTCTTGTTGTATTCACGGATTTTTTTTTTAAGAATATTTATAATACAGAGGTCAGAAAACTACTTTTTTTTAAATTATATATATTTTTTTTTTTCTTGCTACATGCTACTACAACAAAATAGTTACTAAAAAAAAAAATTGTAAAAAATAAAATATGCACTATCGTCAACGCTATGGTGTATTTTGGATTCCGGGCGTAGCGAGAAGAGTTTTACTAAGATGGTAGTGTAACTTACACGTTTATTCCCAGTAAACTTGCTCCGATTTTTAATCGCCAAAAAAAAAACGACTGCACTTAAAATTATGTATTACCGAACTGCGTTCGGAATCGTCTTTCGTCAAGCAATAGTTTATAGTTGCTCACAGATATAAATGAAATAACCTTATGTATCCTACCTTTCCAACTTCTCACCTACAACAGTGGCCGCTCCCATCCCCAGTATCAACTCTTTTTTTTTTTTGATTTTCTTATTAACTCTTTAATGCCTGTAAATTACTACAAAACTGCACTTTAAACAGAAAAAAAAAATGTCCAAAATAATATAAAAGAAGGCTATACCTAAGAATTTATTTTAACTTGCAATACCTATTATGATAATTGATAATTAAAATACGATTATAGTTTCGGTTTGATGTTGATAAAAAAAATTATCGACGTTAATATTTAAGAAATACAATTTCTTTATTTACTCTCTTTAGATTGTATACTCGTCAGAAAATTTGTAGATATATAATCGAACAAGACTGATACACTTCACACGAGGAACGGGCCACTGTTTTAGGTGAAAAGTTGGAAAAGTGGACGGACAATTTAATGTATATTCTTAAGGCCGAAAGCCGTAAGAATAAATTATAATCAAAAGATAATATTGTGAAAAATATATATCAGAAATTAGAAAATTGCATTTTTATCTTAGGACTTTTGCACTGTATTGTCTTTGTTATGATATATATACTCTCGGTACTTTTAAACACCTTTAGCATATCTTTCTGAATCAAAAAAAAAAAAAATTCAAATTCGGCAGTTTTCGAGTTTTTTTTTTTTTTCATATGTGGATTGAAATGATAATATTTGGGTTGAATTTCAATACGAACTTCACCATGTTATTGCGAGAGGAGGATGTTTATTATTAGCCTTGTACGCCCCTACAGGCTTCTTAAATAAAGCCAGGAGCTTGTTAATTTGTAAATGCATAATATAGTTATATAGTATCATGATGTGCTTTCTAGTGGTTTCAACTTTCAACTCCCTCCTCAAACATTTTTTTGGTCAGATTTTTTCATGGTTTCACAAAAAATAGTGAATTTCGAACAGCCTAACAGACTCGTGAAAGTTAACTTCATTTAACTTTATTAAAATAGAATTGTTTTTTTGTTTATAATCTATATTTAAAAAGAAAAAAAAACAATAAGTGAATTGAATAAATATAAGAATTTGTGACATAGAGTTCACATGACGAAAGAAAATATCCACTGATATTACTCTACTGCAGTTATACACAATATAATATAGTTATATATAATAAGTAATAATTAACATTATCTAGGTAGCAACCTGAGTTCAAGTTTATAGACCACTATCAGACATAATTTTTTTTTTAAGATTAGAGGTCTCTGGACCTATTCCTTTTCAATCTACACATGTTGTATCTGGAAGCTCGATAGAGGATAGAGTTGCAATGAGGGATTTTAATGATGTTGAAATTTTTTATAAAATCGATGATTTAAATTATGATTTAGAAGCTTGGTCAGGTATGGATGTTATGTAGGGTTCGATAATTTACATACCATGGGGCATTGTTGGTTATAGTTCTGAGGCATATCGACTGTATAATTTTTATGTTGGAGTTTTAGGTAGCTCCCCAAAAGTGGATACCATAGTTATAGGAATGAGGAGCATAATATATTTATATTTTTTTTTGAATTGGTAGATATTATTTTAATAGAGAACTTAGTTGGTGTAATCTATGGTTTAATAATTTATTTATTGTTTTAATGCAGGTTGCCCATGTGAGTCGTCTATCCAGGTGCATCCTAAGATATTTTATTGTTGATTCGGGTGTTATGTGTCTGTCATTTTTATGGTCAGGTTTCACAGGTGAAATAGTGAATTTCAAATATCCTAACAGACTTATTAAAGTAACAAACTTCATTTAAGTGTGTAAATGTTAATAGGATTGTTATCGAAGATGTGCCTTTAGAAGATTTAAACTTCCAATCCCCGACCCCAACGTCTATTTATAATATGTTTATATTAACAAAAATGTCAAGAATTACTTTACCTATTTTAATAAAACTTTTTTTATTCAATTTATTATGATTATAAAAATAAAAAACATTACATGAAGAACGGCAACAAGTCAACTGAGCGGAAATTCGACTCCAGTGGCGGAGCTCTGCTGCTCATGTGTTTTATTTTTCATTTATATAAAGGTTAATTTTACTGTGGATTATATAATTTCGTAGATAAAAAGAGACACCCTCTCCTGATGCGTATACTCTAGAAAGAAATTAAACAAACTGGCAATACTTGCAAAACGAATTGATTTAATTCAAATGAAAATTGTACCGTTCAACTCACGGAAATGAAATAAGTTATATTTAAAATTAATGTCACACCATCTCAAGTAGGTTAAATTTTTAATTTTTTTCATGACTAACCCTATGATGGTTCTTAACACAGGGTTAATCAGTAATGTTTTTAAACACATTTTTCCTGTATAAACGGTACCTATATCGGCTATAGCAACAAGATTAAGTCGAGTTAGGTACATTTATCTTTCACTGTAAGTACATTTGTGTTCGGAAACAAATAAACTAACAAACATATTTAAATTGTATGGTGAATATAAATGTTAGTAGGTTCTAGTATAAGCACTTTAAGGTCTCGCGTTACAATTAAAAAAACGAACACAGAGCTTGTAATAGATTAAAACAAATTTATTTTTAACTAGGTAAAATATATTATGTTTTTATACAAGATTTATTATAATAGTTTCTTAATAAATAATAATATGTTTTTATTCACTTTTACATCGCACCATTGAATAAAAAAAAATTAAAATGCACTTATCCAATGAAGACTGGGGTTTCATTTAGTAAAAGTGTCAAGACACTGTGTAAAGGCACTTGTAAAAGTCCTACCTATATAGTTTATACATCTTAAATTGACTGGATGTCTACACAAGCATCATATTCATTGTCTGCGTCTTAAAAAACGCCCGGCATATCAAATTTTCGTTCGGTTGGATAAATTGTATGCTGTTAGTTTTAATATTAAAGAAAATTCCTTCTAAACTTATATATATATATATATAATTACTAAACTTGACGGTAAGAATATTATTTACAGTGTTCCTAGGTCGGTTTTATTTTTGATATTTCAACGTGTAAACGAGATCTGAGCATGTTAACTATCACAATTTAATAATGCCTATAACTCGGTTAAAAGTTAAAACGTCGACCGAAAACCACGCCGTAAGATCCCGTAAGATAACGTTCGTATACATTTATGTTCGGTAATAATCTCGAATATTAAAACTAACGAGCGTCGTCCTGCTAAACGCGATTTTGCTACGACTAAATACGTAATGTATGTACCGTCAGGTTGTACATAATAATATTAGAACTTGAAATCGGTATACAGCGATGGATTGCCTGGTTACTATTGTTATTGGGTCGGGCTCGCACACTCGATTTACACCTTATCTAACGGACATACATTTAATTGTCAACGTTACTTTGTCTGCGATTTCCCTTGAGAGAGACATTAGATACCGGGACCACTATGAATCACCGTCCGTGTTCGCCTATCTATAAAAATATATTGTAACGATTATTAAGCATAATATAATATACTGATTAATTACAAAGTATAATGTTTACCGAAAGACAAATAATACATCGCCATAAAACCGATAGCGTGTAATTTTCACCGCAGTTATAACAATAATAACTTACACGTTATGATAATATTTCGTCAAACCGGCTTAAAAACGTTCACTTCCTGTAGAGTTCCATTATATATATATATATATTTTTTTTTTTTATTATCAATCGATTATCGTTAATTCGTTAATTAAGTTAATTGCGATACTTTTTTTATTTTATTTTTTTTTTTTTTTTATTACTTTACCATCGTTAATTATTTTCTCTACGGGCAGCGCGCTGACTGTATCGTATTTCGTGCAAGTATTATACAACGTTGTTCAAAAAAACTATATAATCAATAGGAAATAAGTTAAAATTGAACTAAAAATAACACGAGTTAATCGATCAAAATTAATTGATTAGACGGAAATACTTAAAAAAAACTTTTATTTAGACGCCTCAAAATGTCTTAATTGTATTCGAGTTGTATCGAATTATTATTATTCCGTCGACACGCAGCTTCTAAGGCAAGCACGCAGGCACGTAATCAGGATTTTTGAACAGGGGTGCCATAATTTTTGGTCCCGAACGGCCTCAGCTACTAAAAACTATCTAAATATTATGTTCTCATATCAGGATTGGGTCTTTCTTGGAAAAAAATCCTAAGAGTCTATCGAAGATTTGTTTTAAATTATTTTGCTATTTATCTGCTTCAGTGATTTTTATGTTTCAAGTAAATTACAAATACACAATACATTTGTGAAATACTTAATAATTTAATCATTTTTGCCGTAAAAATAAATGGCCTCGAGGATCGCATTCAAATTAAATTATTATTATTAATTTTTTATACTGCATGACGAATGCTGATTAAAATAAATAAATATTTCTAAATTTTGCATTACTAAACTTTATTCAATCATCTTTCGAATGCGTGTTCTATACGAAAATTAATGAATTTACATTAGGGTATAACGTGAAGCAGTGGTGAGAGGTTAAAAGGTAATGATTTAAAAAAAGCCGAGAAACGCTGATTTAGACGATATAAACTAGTGACTAGCAAAAATCTTAAGAAAAATATGTTTTAACATTTAAAAAGGTAAGCAATTTACTTGATTCAAATACATGTTCATATATTTGTTTCATACACTACAAATAAATTATCAATAGTTAAAAAATCGAACATTTTTCTTAGACGACCTTACAATGGGATATTAAAAAATATGTGACCTAGGTCTATATATTTGAGCTTAATCAGGCTCTGCTCTCAGGTTTACAAAAAAAGGAATACTTATTTGGAAATAAAATTTACGTATGGAGAAACAGTAAACAGATATAGTACTATAGATATAGTAACTTATGTACAAACATATATGTGTAATAATTAACATGTTAAAAAATTACTTGTCATTTAATAGTGCACAGACAACGCGCTTCCGCATTCTGTACTTATACGATAAAATTTCTCGGTAATTTTTACATTTTCGGAAATTTATAAACGAATCTATAGCAAAAATGACATTTCTACTATATTATAAAAATTAATGTTCGTTCGTGATCTATAGACTCAAAAACTCCCGAATTAATTGGCAATCAGTTTTACACAATGTACATTGAGACTCGACGTGGGTTTTTAGCTTCGTTTTTCAGCCCACACATGAATTTCGTTTCGGGTCACGGAAATCGAATGTTTTATTGTTTGTGTATGGGTTTACGGATAATGAAATAAATATGATAAGATAATACGAGCTGTTCTGCATAAAATGTGAAATTGTGTGGCCAAAAGTAACGGCAAATCTCACAAACCTACTCAACCGTTAGATATTATGCATTTTTAAACATTTACGAGCACCAGATATTAATTTTTTAATGACAGTCGCAGTGGTGCCGAAGAAGGGGTTCAGCTCTGGTCAAGACCAGTCCATAATTTTAGAGCGATGGTGGCGGTGGTGGTGACGGCGGTGGTGACGGTGGTTGTGGTGCTGGTCGTTGGTTAATTTATAGAATTTCTATCACGTGAATACATTTTTTTTTTATATAGAATATTTTACTATTCGTTTGGTAGCACTGTTCATAATAACATATTATTATAACTACAATATATTTGATACCTTGCTTGTACCCGGGGATAGGCATACCACTATTAAGACTGCCATATGTATCATATAGTAGTCTAATGTAGTACTAATGACTACTTAACCGACCGTTTCGAAATCGATTTGGCACCATTGGCGATTGGGTCGGGAAAACGAGGAATCACGAAAAACGACGTTTATATTAAATTTTTTTTTCACACGGACAAAGCTGCGTGGGAAAGCTAACACATTATCTGTAATAATATTACCGTATGCGGGTGCTATGGCACGTCGAGCATCCGTACGAAATCGTTTGATAAACTGCGGCCGTTGGAGTTATGACACCGCGAATCGGGGAAAAACGATTTGAGGATTAGATAGGCAATGTACGTATAAAAAATCGAAAAAAATCCTGTATACCGTCAGAGACAAGTGATACTAGACGGCTCGTTGTCGAATCGCGTCATCGTTTTCAACGAGCGTTGTTATCGGTTTGTCGTTTATCGTTTTCTACGTACAATTATTACTGTAATTAGGCGCGTATGGCAGGACGAGATAAGTTACAGGGGTGTTGCATACGCGGTAAACAGGCCCCGTTAAGGATAAAAGGGAAATCTCGTAAAACCGTCGCGAAGCCCGGCAAAAGAAAACGAACGTTCGTATAATATTGATTTCGTCGCCGATCGCGTTCGTTTTTACACAATAGAGTACGCCAATAATTGTAATAAACATTTGAAAGGGCCAATCAGCGAGTCGATGACGACAAAGTACTCGACACAGAAACTACGGTAAAGGGGAGGTTTTAAAATATTCATTTAAAACGCGTCGTTCCTTTGAATATAATATACCGTACCTCGTGCGAGCTTTCGGTTTCTTGAATAGCATTTGGCGATATTCGTTTACTATTATCAAAATAATTGTAATTCGATGAATGATTCGACGAAATGGGAAAAGAATAATACGCTTTTGAAATATCTAAGAAACGACGAATTATATCGACAATTATATTACCGGCGCGTTTTCAAGTGTCGTCGTAACCTAATTAAAAAAAAAAAAAAAAGTGCCATAAATTAATGAAGTTTTATTAAAAGTAAATTTCGATATTAAAATGACTCCGTTTTTATACCGATCCGCTGCTCCCTTCCTATATAATTTACTCGCGCGTCTCTTTGCGAAAATACTAAACTTAAATTAAAATACGGTATATAACATCAAACATTTCAACGCCGAAATTTATTTCAACTAAAACTTATTCGCAGATTCAAAAATTCTGAAAATAGAATTTTGCGAGAGATTTATGGGCTTGTGGCCCGAAGTTTGACTATATGGTTCTGAAGATGTGGATAATGCGACTTAATAATAATTGCAGGATGAAGGAACGGCTCCAGTCATGAAACACGTAACGTACATGAACTATGGAAACACTATTGTATGCGCAATAAATTGGACACCAGGAGAGAAGATATCCCGAGGCGATCCCGAAAAAAGTTTGTTGCACGCGATTGAAAAGGTTTCGAAAAGCTTATAGCAGTGCACGGTCAGAGAAACAGTGTGACAGCGGGACCGGATAAAAATGGATACAAATGCGTGGTTCGCCTGCGAAAACGCATATAGAGTATTGGCGTATAAAAGTCAAAGAACAAGAAGGTAATTTCGTGAATACGCAATTTTGAATAATGTTTGATAAACTGGCAGATAATAGTTTCACCGCCAAACACAAGGATTTCCCAAAAAAAAAAGAAAAATGTCGACTAAAAGTGCAATTGCTTTCCCGAGATGTAGCGTTGAGTGTTTCGCGTTAAAACAATTTTCACGAATAATTGAAATATCGAACCGGTAATTTTTTTTTCTTATCAAACGAATAGTTTGAAACTCGCAGATCCGTACAACATATTATTGCAGTACCTATATATATTACTGGAGATATTTTTAGGATATTTTAAACTTACCTTATATTGTTCCGTACGCTCCCCCACGCAAACACTATGGAATTTTACGTATATAGCGTACATAAGGGAATCAGGGGGGGGGGGAGGGGGCAACGAAATGTTCGCACAAAACTGCTTTAGTTGTCGCGCTGTCCGTATGTCGTCGCTACGGTCGTGTCCACTGCGGCCAATCCCCACAGCGGACCATTGAGCCCTAGCTGCAAAAGTTATCTTGTGCACAATAATAATAATATTAAAAGAAAAAAAAAAAACAAAATTACAATAGTAACGACGAAAAATAACGCGATTTAACAATAAGAAAAATCGAAAAACATCGTTTATAAACTTATTATAATAAATTGTATTACAATAAAAAAAATACATCAATGTAACGTGTACTACTAAACGCTATATACAAATATTGCCGGTGTTTTTACAGTAATTTCGGTGCGGGTGTAATTTATTTGTAAATTCGTTATTATTTAACATCGCGGAGACCGCTGCAAACAGCCACATCATCGTGTGCTCGAAGATTCGATGCCAGCAAGTGAATTGCACTCCAACAAGTGCCGGGATTTTCAACGTTACCAGAGCACCTGATGAAGTACAATCAACAGGTGGTTCGGAAAAACTTTGCAACACGCGGTCGCCGCGATAAAGAGTATACATCAAAAATAAAAAAAAATTAGAAAAAAAAAAAAACTATACACACACTACTGGGGGGGGGACACGTAGGCGCTTAAAGTATTCGATAAAAATTAACAATAAGTAATAAAAAAAAAAAAAAAAAACCCGAAACATCGTCGGACCGCGTACGGAACCCGGCCGTCCGACGTCGGCGTTACCCGCACGACGCGTGTGCGGCACTCACAATAACAATTACCCTCGTGTTATCGTCGTCGTCGTCGTCGTCGTCGTCGTCGTTCAGGTGATAGTCGCGCGAACGATCATCGCGTCCGTTCCGATGGCCGCGTCCGTTGCAGTCGTGGCGGCGGCGGCGGCGGCGACTGCGACCCGTCGGTTTAGTTATGTTTTCGCGCGCTACTTCAGGTACCTGACTTCGTTCAACATCGCAGAGTCTAAGAGCGCCTGCAGCAGCCCGCGAAAACTAACCGATTTTTTGCGGCCCGGCGGTTGTGCCGGCCGTCCTCTGCCGGCGTCCGAGAAGGCGATCGTTGTCGTGGCGCGCGACACGGAACTGTCGCGGCTACCTGCGCACGGGGACCCGCACGGCGCTCCGGCACGGCTCTGATGCGACGTCGCGTGACGCGAGGCGGCGGCGGCGTGGCGGCCGGGCGGACGGGCGGCGGTGGTGCGCAGGGTATACGGCGCGCGTGCAATGCGGGTCCGTATCGGAATGCAAATATTTGCAAACTCGATCCGGAGAGAAACGGACGTAAGAACGGCAAGGGGAAAAAAAAAAACGAAACGAAAAACGAGTTTTCGAACGAAACGTACGCGGAAAAAAAAAAACCCGAACAAATACCGCGACGGTTGCGGAATACCGTAAGACCGGGCGCGCGCTCGCCTCGTAAATACATTTTATACGCGATACACATAAATACATAAAATCGCATGTTACGCCGTTATTACATAATCGAAATGTCGTACGGTGTTAACGGCCGTCCACGTCCGGGGACGGGAACGTTGCGAACGCGAGTGCTCGCCGCGCCGACGACCGCGACGGTGTGGGACGCTCTGCCGACTCACGGGCGGCGGCCCGCGCGTTTTCCCCGCACGACGACGACGACGACGACGGCGGCGGCGGCGGCGGCGGCGTCGTCGTCGTCGTCGTCGCAGCACGCGGTGACCGGACGGCGGCGCGGCGACTCGGCACCGGGGCGGCCGTCCGGCCCGCTTATCGTCGACAGTCGGCGGATTTTTTTTTTTTTTTTTACCTTCGCACGCGCGCGTGCATTATTGAAACGCGCGACGGCCGTGTACCGTGAAAACAGAAAAACAAAAAACAAATAATAATATTGTTATACGCGCGATTAGTGTGACGTCGCGTAACAATAGGGCACAAACCGCGCCTGCCCCCGTCTATCCCCTCGGATATTATCCTGCGCGCGCGCGCCCGCTCGGTAAACGCGAAGTGAAAAACAAAAAAAAAAAAAAAAAAAAAAAATAAAAATAAAAATCGGAGTTTGCGATTACGTACGCCGCGATCGAATCACCGGGATCGGAGAATTTATTTTGATTTATAACCGATTGGGGAGATTTTTGAAATTCCGTTCGAAAACGTCCCCGGTGACAAGAACTGAACGCCCGGACTCGTAATAAGCCGGACGGAACTGATCACCTTAAACGACGAAGATTAATAGAGAGTCCCCCTCCGCTCCCCTCGCATTAATCACGGAATCCGAACGAATACCAACGCGCATATGCATATGATTATTATAAACGATGCGACGTACGGTAGCTTTACGATTTCTTATTCTTATACGTGTTTTCAAGTTATTTCAAGTTATTTATCTATTTTGCCACTGCTAAAAATAGCTCATTCGAGTAACTCTCGTTTAATGATAGTGAAATCTCAATTATTTTAAATATTTGCATTTCAATACAATGTGAGCTTTAAAAAAATAATAATAATAATAAAAAATATCACGTGCGTTTTTAACGGGACTCCGTTGAATTGTTTGGATCCAAACGATCCGATTATTACTGTGATAATAAACAGATAAGAAGACACAATGACATGTTATCAATGGCTAACTTGTGTCGCGCGTGTCACAAAGTGACACGCGCACACAATATTTCAATGACGCGCCAATTTGAATACAATTCATAATTTTTACTTCGCTCATTTTCTATGAAAAATATTATAATTTAAAATAAATTGATATTATCATTTGTAACGTTTACAACAACAATTTGTATGTGATTTTTTTTTTATTATTATATTCTACATTTCTCTATATCTCGGTAATTGTGACTACTGCATGTTACTTGTAATTTTTTCGCGATAAGACCTTATTAGTACAGATAAGACTTCGGATTCGCTATTGGCATCCGCCGCTGAAATTTACCTGACGACCACTAGTTTAACTATTAACCGACTGTCGTTTCGAGTTTGTTCGAGCGTTGTTGCGTTCGCATATCGTTCGCGTTTAATGCAAACAAAGGCCAACAAAGATTTTGAGACACCGAGGCCGAATGAAATCAAACCGAAAATTCGTTGTCGACGCGCGTGCACCAAAAGGTTCGCCGTCATATCATGGCCTCATCAAACTATATTTTTATATTGCGATTATTACCGTTATATCTGTTTTCTCGTTGGGTTAGGTTATATTCGTGGGAAATCTATATAAGGGATAGGGACATAAATAGGACTCACCGTGTATTTTAAGTGTGATCGAAGAGCACCACTGGTTTTACATTTAATTGAGGTGCGGTAACAACCGTAAGTGATAGCGAAAACGCAATTCGCCCCGCCCGGCCCGGTTACCGAAATAACAAATTCGGAAAATGATATTATTCAGAGGCAGATGAATAGGTAATTACGATTGTAAAAGGCGATACAATTGGCACAAATCGGACTGTTAAAACCGCGGATAACCGCATACAACCGTTATGGTGACCAGTAGACCGTTCGCCCACAGTGTACCGCGTACAATAAGCGTCCCGTCTCTATGTATAAAATATTCTAATCTAGGGATTGAACCGCTCGTGTCCGCGCACATGCAGACCGAGAATGCCGCCGAGCATCCTGTCCGGGCGATCTTTGGACGGCGCCACGCGTTCCGCGATTGGTCGTCGTCACTCGTTCACAAGGTTCGAGTGCGGACGGCGGGGGTAATCTGGCGACGGACATGCGCGAACGGTACGCGTTTTCGTCGTCGGCCGATCGGTTCAATCTTACCGCGAATAGTGTGTATTATATTATTAATTGAAAGAACGGATTTATATGGGCGAAAAATTCGTCAAACTATGCTTATGAAAATTCTCAAACGAAAAAAATATTAACACGCGTTAGAAAAAAAGTGGCGATAAAAAAAAAAACAGGGCTCGTTTGTCGTTGAATTCGTATTTACTGAACTTCGTAACGGGACGGTCGCTTTCAAAAGTGATTTGTCAAAAATAAAAACACAAAAATGTAAAATGCCACAATAAACTATGCGCGAAACAAGGTAAAAACCATCGAAATATGCAAAATATTATGTAAAATACGATTGACGTTATTTGAATAAGAACAATCAGGGGGAGAAGGGGGGATATTGGAATAGCTCATTTTAAATACGATTCCCAACAATTGTCCTCGGTAGCCGACAGAAGAGTTTGAGCAACATTAAGTTTTCTATAAGCAGGCTAGTCTCGGGTTTTAGATAGATTCCGCGTACTATTTGCATCGACTTTAAAAGTGCCCTATTTTTCTTCGCGTTGTCGCTGCCATTTCTGTGTCCCGGTATTCACGACACCGACTGTGCGCTGCTAATGAGCCCCTAACGAGAACGACGAGGAAAGCCAATGCCGAACTATCCTCCCTTTCCCTACATCTCAATCGGTTATATCGTGCGGTCTTAATGTGTTTCGTTAGTTTTATTTGTGCTTGTAACCGTTGGGCTAAACCGACCCGTACTTCAAACGAACAACCGCGCGCATTTTCACGTGTGTATATGTATAAATCCGTTGCCTAAATCGTTGTTATATTGTTTATACGACTGTGCGCGCTGTCCGTCTCCGTCCGAAATACCCGACGGCGGGGAAAACAACGCCGTCGGTCCGTGTTTATAGGGGATAAAAAAAAAAACAAATTTATTAAAAAAACCATACCTACTCGTGCGTAACGCGTTCGACTTTCGGCCCGGTTTTCGCGGCCGTCGAACCGGACCGTACGGTGACCCAGTGGCGGTAAGAGCCGGCGCCGGCGCGAGACGTTTTGTTGGCGAACAAAGCCGGAGCCGCCACGTGAACCGCGATGGCGTACGGGTCCGTACGGACAAACGGCCGATGGTATAAACGGACGACGACGACGACGACGGGACGAAAAGATTCCGGTGTAATAATAACGCGCGATGACGGCGAATTCGCGTTAATTGCGAAAAGAAAAAAAAAATTTCGCGCGCGCAGTGTTACCACCCAGCGAACTTTGTCTGACGACGTGCCGAGTGCGCGCGCGCGCCTGTTTGTCACTATACCGGACGTGACGCGATTGGAATAAGCATTTTTTTTTTTCTGTTTTTTTTTTTCCCCCGTCCGTATACGATTATCGATATATGGATGCACGACTCACCGCGGTCTTGGAAATCGTCCGGCTACGGCGATGACTCCGGGGGATTAAAAACGAAACCGTACAGTAAAATATTACGCATACAATAATAACAATAACAATAACAATAACAATATTAGTAACGATGACAGTGATAATACGTGCGCGACGACGCGACGGAACGCGATGCACCGATCGGACCGTACGGTGCACACTGCGCCGCGCATCACCGTCGGATACCCGCGGCCGGGCCTCACGCGGCCCACGACGGCGAACCGCACTTGGCCCGCGTCCGACAGAATGCGCTTTCCCGTTGCACTCGCGTTGTGTGAGGCTTTTTCCGTTTCGTCGCGCGAACTCGGTGTATCCGATGTATCCGGTGTATCCGATGTATCCGGGTGGTGCGGTGTCCGATGCGTCCGATGTATTCTGCGCCGACTTGGCGATTTTCACGCCGTCCGTCCGAATCGCACAGTTCCGTCTCTGGAACAAAAACGAAACAAAATGTTTACACGCGACGTACGTTGTTATCGGGTACCTGCAGGTATTATTGCGTACCGTCGTTTCGGGCGACTGGGCGCAAAAGGACGGAAACGGCGAAACGAACGTACGCGTAATGCTATGCGAACTTTCTACGCGTATTAATAACAAAAAATGATAAAAAAAAAAAAAAAATAATAATAGTTATCGACGACGATGATAGCAATAATATTATAATACCGTTCACCTTGAATCCCCGCGATCGTACTTTTGCACGCGCGCCCGCGTGTGTGTGTGTGTGTGTACGTGTGTGCGCGCGTGTGTACGCCCGTTTATCAGCTGTTATACACGCGCAATATATGCGCGAAAAACAATGAACGCTATTATGGAAGGTTCCCCCGTCCGCTCCGTTCGGCTAACGTACGCTGTACGAGAGCGCGCGCGCGCGCACGCACACACACACGTTCGAACAATAAAAAAAAAAATTGAAAAAAAAAAAAATGTACGCGAATTTTTTATAAAAACCCGAGTGGCGGGGAGGACCGCGCGGCAAAGACGAACGGGCCCGCGCGCGTAGAAAACGCGTTTGGAAACGAGACCGCGTATCGCGCCGCTGCACTGTGCGCTGTTACGCGCGCAAAAAAAAAACATTATTGTCTCGGCGCGCGGGTACGATAGCAATGCGAGGCGAAGGATGTCCGCGACGTGTGCGACCTGTGCGCGGCTGCAGTGTACGCAGTGTGCACGTTAGATTATAGGCGGGGTAAGAAAAAACGGAAAATAACGACTTTGCGTTAAAAAAAAAAACGATAGTTAAAATTTGCCTTATTTTTTTTTTTTTTTATATTTTCGTTTTACCGTGCATCCCGCGTATTGGCGACGATAAACGACAATCGCGACCGCCACGAACGGAGTCGAACGAGGTGTCCGTCGCTCTAAACGACACGCGACGAAACCGGCAGCATGAACGCGTGTTTATGGTTGAAACGAAACGCGTTATCGACGGGTAATCCGGCGGAGGGGTGAAGGGGGGGGTGGATGGAAGGGAATCGAGGCCCCGCCGACACACACGATATTGTCGCGCGGTAAAAGTTAAACCCCGTAAAATTAATCCGGAAAAAAAAAAAAACGAAAAGCCGACAAACAGATTATTGCGAAAACCACTAGAACACAGACGAGAGTCGAGTGTTATTACGGCATTTACCGCGGCTGTATTTATGGGTAGCCACTTAAGGAAAAACGCGCGCGCAATTGTAATTGTTTTCGTTTTCGTTTTTTTTTTTGTTTGTTTCGAACGGTGGCCGCCGCCGCCGCCGCTAGTATAAGTCACCGTAAGCGAAAAATATTACCGGGGGGGGGGAGGAGAACCGTCCGAACAAGCAAAAGCGAACGCGTCGGAATTTCAATGTCTCTCCGCGATATTTTACGCGCGCCACGTACGGCAGTAGCGGCGGCGGCACGAGCGGCACGAGCGGCAGCAGTCGGCGGCGCGCGGAATGCGATTTTTCGCCAAACTCGATAAGCCGCGCTTGCATTATGCATACGTCACGCACACCCGGTGCGCGCGATGCGCCCGCGTACGTGTGTGCGTACGCGCGGCGCGCGTTATTAACTTACCCGCGCGGAAAGTTTCGGCGCTCGTGCGAGCGCCGGGCATGTGTGCCCGCGCCGCGTAATCGTATCATCGCGGCGCGCGGATTCGGGCGACGGCGCGGGGAGGAGCGGATAAAAACACGAAAAAAAAACACAACGAACTGCCCCGCGGGAACGCAACAACGCCGCGGCGACGGGGGAAAAAATCGCGGATCCGTCGCGCTCTCGCCCGCCCCGCGGATCCGTCGCCGCGGCGAGACCGGCCGTCGGCGGAATTCCACCGCGTTTTCGCGGCGTAACCGCGTGCCGCCGTGTTGTTCGTTACGCCGCCGCGTCCCGCCCGCCGTCACGTCCGCGGCGGCGACGGCGGGTAACGAGAAGACCCGCGCCGTTCCGTACGCGCGATCGCAGCGGCGAGTGTACGCGTACCGCGCGCACAACGCGTTATCGCAACGGCTGCAACGCGGCCGACCGAACGACCTTGCCACGCGCGTGCACATTGCAATTTTCGCGTTTCGCGATTGCAAACTCCCGCCCCCGAACGGCCGTCACCGGCGCGCGGGCACTGCGCTCTCGGTCGACGGCGGCATCGCGCGCTGCACCGGCCGCGAAAATTACAGGCAGAAAAAAAAAATAATAAAAAAACCATAAAACCCGACCGATTATTACGCCGGACGGTGATGCACATTATCTGCGTTTCGTTTTACTTTCGGGTTTTTTTTTTTTTTTCCTTTACGAATGATTATCGCGGTCGATTAGGGACACGCGCGTGCGATTTTTTTTTTTCTGCGCTTACCTAACCTATATATGCTTATAATCTCTCCGCGTTGACGAAAAAAAGCTGACAAACGTGTCGACGGCACGTTATTATTATTGTTATTATGCGGTCGGGCTATGGCGCAGTGGTTCCCAACCGACGACGGCGCATACGATTTTCTGTTCGATAATAGAAATTCGGTGTGTGCCCGGTGAAAAATCAAAAGTGGACGATACACGTGTTGTTCCGGACAACGATAATCCGTAATCAATATTATAAATTGAACAAGTCTCTGAAAAAAGTCATCGGACCGAAAAATAAGCCTCTCTCAAGTCTTCCGGCTAAGCGGTCCATACTGTCGAAAAGAAAAAAAAAAAGATCGGGAAACACTGGGCTATAGGTTATTATAGGTTTTATAAGACAAGTAGGTCGTCTGTAATACGTCGTTATAATTTGTCACCTGGCCTGCGATTTCGAGATTGCTCGGCTTCTGACGACAATACCGACATCTGCGAACGCCCTCCCCCCCCTCCCCCTTCTCGCCCAATTGAAAAACTCGAAAACGGAAATTCAAATCAAAGAGGTGTGATGTGTTTTGAATCGCGGCGATCCAGAACCATCGAGACACGGACGCACGGGAAAATTACCGCCGCGCGTCAAGTCCACGCGGGATAATTTCATTTCGAAAACGTTCGGTATAGAACGCGCGGCGCTTTCTATTCCGACCAAGAGCTGGCTGTATGAGGGGAAAAAACCGGATATAGGCATTGCACCCGGGCGAAACGGTTAGGTCAGCCGCAAACTTGCTAACCCGACCGCGCTTGGTATGTACGTAAACATACCACTGAAAGAAATATGATAAAATTACCCCGCAATATGCAAGACCGTGTTTTGCATAATTTTAACTTGACCGTATTTCATCAAATACCTAATATACATAATGTATTGCGAATTTTCGTGATTAAATCGAACGGTTTTAGAAAACTGTAGATTCGGGTACGGCCGGAGCGTTTCCTTTTGTCGTGCAGAACTATGGAAAAAAAAAAATTGCGATGTGCGGTTGGCTTCTGCGAACCGATCCTTGTATATTTGACAACACTGGTCTATCCGCGCCGTAAAAAAAAATAACAACAATAAAAAACGCAAAAATAAAAAAAAATAGAAGATTCCTATCCCAACAAGGATCCGGTATTGCAATCTTTTCGCCGACTAGGTAGCTAATTTTTAACAATGGCGTTTTTTTTTTTTTTTATGCTCATGCAAATTTCGCTTTATTATATATTTTGTATTAGGCACCTATAATATATTATGTTCTGCTTCGAGCTCGGGGTCCGGAAGTTTGTATACAGAGTATAATAATAATACATACAATGTACGAATTTATTGTAAGATTTTTTTTTTTGGGGGGGGGTCACTGCAGTACACAAATATAGTATACCTTTTTCGGTCACGTTATTGTAAACGGCTGTTACCGAGATTATCGCAGCGTTAAACGTTATCGTAATATAATACGGGGTTTTCAGAACGTTTCACACGTTACAGTCAAATGATTGTGTAAAAACTTTGTAGCAATCATATTATGTTCTAAAATTGTAAAATCTATTTCTTTTTTTTTTTTCGATCTTATTGTTCGGAGAGAAACCGCCACCCGGTTTTAACGCCAACGAATTCCATAAACGGATAATGACGATTCGATTCGAATACATTTCACGGTGTTGAAACCATTAAGTTCCGTGGCAACGCGTCGACGTCCCGCTTTGAAGTTTCGGTAGGAGTAGAGTATGTATCGTGTAGTGGAGCACCGTTTGTATACAGTCATAAAGTTGTGCGTACCCGCTGTTCAGAACTTTTATGTTCGCAATTATTAATAAAATCTGAACAAATAAACACATTTTTTTTTTTTTACCTTAGTTTCAGTTACGTTATCATAAAAACTATACAAACAACAACCTATGTAAGCCGAGTTTATTTTAAAATACATGCGAATTTGAGTAGTAAAGTTGAGCTAAACATTTACGTGAAACTGATAACTCGAGTGAAAAATTACTTTTTAAAATTACCCTTAACCATACACACACTCGTACGTTTATTTTGTACTTACTAATTAGAGTTTACGCTTAACAGACTTACTAAACAAAACTCGTGCGGATATCGCATTGCGGGTCCGTCTTATTGTGCGGTATTCAATTAAAAATCAGTAATAAATCCCTCGTCGTAAAACGGACGCAGCGGCATATATCATCATAGGTAACCACTGCGAATTTGCTGTTTTACAAAAAAAAAAAAAAACGTGTGCATAACTCAATATTTTTAACGACTATTCAACTCGATAAAATAATTAAGTTAAAATCGTACGTTTTGTTAATAGAAATAATTATGCCGAGTCATTATATTCGAGTTAAATATTCTCGCAATAACATTCCTATATTAAGTTAAATTTATCGACCCGCCTATAACCATTAACTTTTCAACTAAATATACTGCACTGCTAAACGTTAAAATACTGTGCACCGCTATGGATAAGTTTTGTAATTATTTTAATGTTACGTATAATATTATAATAATAAAAATATTGTTTTATGGAAAACTGTCATACGATGACTATTATCGTATAACAAATTCCGTGTATTATACTATTTTGTCCGCAGTTTTCCGTAAACGTGTAATTTTCGTTTTATATACAGCGCGTGTATAAAATATGCGAACGCGGCCGCTTCAAACTATTAAAAAAAAATATACATATATAAATGACGATGACCCTTTTTTTTTTTTTCATTTTAATCATCGTTGATTGTATTATACAGTGCCGGCGCGTTATTCGGCCGTTTTCTCCGGTACGTTTTACAATAATATTATTGCACAACGACACGCGAATTTCAATTAATATAATAATATTATAATTATATTATTTGTAGTTTACGAATAATCGCGTTTTTTTTACGTTTTTTCATATCTCTCCAACGAGTTTAAAACGCATAATGTTATTGTGTCTAAGCGTACAAACTCGCATATTGTATTGTGTATGGATATAACAGTCGTTATCGAAATAATAATACTAAAAATATTAAAGAAAAGTACGAAATGCGCGTTAATTTTTTATTTAAGTAAAAGCTAACATTAATCGCAGCTATTATTTTTGTTTTCATACGTGCATTAATAACGTGTTTCTATAATGATAAAGCTGCCAAACTCCAAACCAAAATCTAAAAACCCACTCGTACAATTATTACAATAAGTAAATATACGGCTAACGTAATGTAATTTCGCATTCTAATATTCAACAACGAAACTGTAACAAATAAAAATAATTGCACGCCGAAAAACGAAAAACGCGGTGAGATTCTCGTACAATATTAAAATATACATTATTTTTTTAACCGTTTCCGAACATTACGGGTATACGCTTTCGGACAATTTAGTATTTTAACAATGCGTTGCCATGGAAAAGCAATTCCGAGCGAAGCTCGGTAAAACGATGAGGTTAAATAGAATCTAAAAATCTGCAGCACAGGCATAGACCATATTGTACAAAACCGATACAACGTCGTCATACGTCGTGATCGGGGTTTTTTTTTAAACTGTCGTGAATCTAGAATAATTTTTCGTGTAAAGTACCGCCGGCCGGAAGAAATCCCGCGTCTTTTAAGGCGCTGCGTGGAAAAATCCGAGCGTTTTCACTGATCGAAAAAAGCGTTGTCCGCGGCGGAAAAAAAATATAGAATACAAACATAGCTTCTTTGCCGCACACTCGGGATCTAAAACGTTATTTAGTAAATTAATCGAACGCAGTGCGCGCGTTACAAAATGTACTGATAAAAAAAAAAAAAAAAAAAACCGTTATCGTGTTTTCTGTAATGTATTTGTATTATACAACGTGTGCGCCCATAATATATCATGTGTATTATAATATTGTAAATATCTCGGTTCTCGTACCATAATAAATAATAACAACGTGTTGTAATTAAAACGTTGTTTGATCGTTAATTAAACTAAGAAATTAGAAACGGGTCGTTTTTCCACTGATAAACATTATTATCGATTATTATATAACGTCGTCACATAAATATTTAAATCTATCGGTGTTTTACGAGCTGCGCAACACGGGCAGGCCGACCAGCCAGAGATGTATTATTATTCCACGAACAGTATGACGAAACGGACACACAACTAGATTAGTTCGAACCGGTCAGAGACGATCGAAAAATCTTAGCTGGAGATATTGCCGGACGGACAAGATGTAAAGCTGACGTCGCGTATAGAGAAGGGGAGGTGCGGGGAGGTACTTTGATTTGACAAAAAAAACAAAAAATTTGGGATTTATAACGGGGAATCGTACGTGTTTTGATCGGTCCGTTTTTGTTGGCCGCAGCTGAACATTATTCAGCGACTACTCAAACCAGCACATAAACGTACGAACTGAAAAGTACTTTCTAATTGACCTGTATACTATACTCTTCGTATTGTTATTCGTCATTTTATTATACCGAATACACCTATTAAACGATCGTCGGTCAACAGTTACTCGTAATATAATATTATGTTACTCGTGTGTTGGTATGGTAATTATAGCGTACGGTTACGATATTAAAATAAAATCATTTCGAATGGTGCGAAAACGATACGTGTCGCATTGACGTCGTTTCGCGAGAGTTACTGAAAAGACACAAGGGGCGTACTTAGTAAAAACTAAAAATTCAAATCAATTCACCTCCCCGGCTACGAAGATAAAAATTATATATATAAAAAAAAAAAAAAAACATTACGTATTCTATTCAAATGGGTATAGGTTACTAAATTCATCCGCATCCGTCGCCACTGTCACACCAATACATAATTATATATAACCCGCAGATATGATCTCGTTGAATTTATAAATTTTTTAGAAAATTCAAACTATTGACACCATCGCGAAGTGTGCAGATTTCGTATCTTTTGTTCTTCTATACGCCCGTGTATAGTTTTCTCGGGATTTATCTGCGAAATTTGAATATTTTACCGTGCATACCTGCAGTATACGTGTATCCAAATCACACTCGCGTTACCGCGTACCGAGTTGAGCGAAGATGAAAAAAAATATAACCATTAAATGGCGAATTACAAATACACGCACATATTACGAACAGTCACAATAAAAAAAAAAAAAAAACTAAAACTAAAATTATTTGAACGACAGAGTGGTAAAAATACAATGTCTGGCGATTATTATCGTCGAACACGTGGTTGACACGAAACTATGTAATAAATATAATAATATTATAGAGTGGCTTCGTGTCAGTGGCGGCGCGGAGTTATCTTTCCACGAGTTTCGGCAAAATCGCAAAAAACCCAAGCACGGAACAATCAGGCGTCTGGATGTGACTATACAGACGTTTCCGTATAATTCCCCGTCACAAATCGGCTGCTTCGTAGGTCGTCCGTTCGCGACGCCACTGCGGCCCCAATATCTTTTATGGAATAATTGTCTATCGGGACGATAATCTGTTGTAAAAACCGACAATTCGACCGACCAAAAACGACGAAAAACAAACCGAGTGAAACCCGAAAATGAATTTCACGCCCTTTACGCGATCGCTAAATTGAATGATTCCCACCCCTTCCCCCTCCTCTATACCCCTACAGTTACGGTTTTTCCGCCGCAAAAACACGGGGTGAATTCTCGCCAGTAGTAATGTACGCGGACGATTCAGTGCCCGAAAGTAATTTGTATTCGTATTATTTTTTTCTTCGGTTTTCGAATGGGATTTAAGAAAATCGTTTGTCTGCTCGGCGGTGGACTTTAAGCCAACCACACACATACACACACACACACACACACACACATACACACACACACACACACGTGCGCGCGTATAAAACTGACCTCGTTGCCATTCCGTGCCGTTCCACGAGGCACGTAGCCGGGTCCCCGAACAGTCGTTTCGGGGCGGTGAATCGATACGGACGCGGTCGTCGGTCGGCCTACATTACTTCGCCGACGCCGGGGCGCCCCGGCTGCTTCTTCTTGTAATAAACTTGGACTCGGTACCGACCCGTAAGTTTGATAGCGTACACCCGGGAAATTTACGAGCGGCGGAAACGAGCGAGGTCCCGCGCACGAATGCGATTCGCGCGGCAGCCAATTTCGGCACCCGGTTCCGTTATATACCCGAACGAAAACCTAAAAATGTCCGTCCGCGAGAAAGTGTACGGCGCGATAAGGGACGATATTATAATTACGGCGAGGCACTCTCGTTTCGGTTTAATTGAACGACGACGCGTATGAGTCGAGCGGGAAAAACGCGTCTCCGCCACAACGTATCGCGTCGTTTTTTTTTTGTTTTTTTTTCGTCGAAAAACTTTTGCGAATTTATAGAGAGAGAGAAAACGGAATCGTTTCGGTCGGGTTTACGCGCGCGGTAAATCCGCGTCTGTTACGTTCAGATACGCCGCGGGTATACGGTGTGCGCGTATATAGGAACGTTCGGCAACGATTTTTGGCGTAACTATAAAACGATTCTCGGGAGGGAGGAAACTCCTCTCCTTTCCCCCCCCCCTTTGTTTCTTCCTAATCTTACGGTCGGAAATTTGGAAAACACGTTTCCATCTCGGTCTATATAGTAATAAAATACGACCTACTGCGAAACGACGCAATTGTCGCGTCGTCCTAAATATAATAAATTACGTTTTATTCGAATTTTCAACCTCGCAATACTGCGTCATTTCTCGCGCACCGGGAATATTTTATAGGGAACTATTAAATTTAACGAATATTGAATATAGCAACACAAATGTTTATCCTATTCCAAACCGAACGAGCTATAATAATAATAACAATAATTTAATAACACTCGAGTTGTGCAACGCGTACTTAATACATAATATAGTACATGTGATACGATTGAACTCGATAAAATAATAGTACGGACGGTTTGACACGATTTCCATAGAAATCCGCAGTCCGTTGTGCGGGACACGTGTGTACACCATATACACATATTAGTATAATATTATAACACGGACGAAGCTTTTCCAATATTACCCTGCGCCGTATGGTTTGCCTATAGTTACAGACATTATTAGAAAATGCAGATAGCCAACACCCGGACCCGTCATGGCCCTAAACGTCCTAAACTGTACGCCTCCAGTTACGGTTCTAACAATGTGGGCCCGCGGACCCATCTCTTTCTGTTATCAGTTCAGTTATCAGTGGGCCGCTGTTGTAGGTTAGAATTTGGGAAGTAGAGAGGAAATTCAATGTTTTCGATTTGTACGACTAACCATTGCTAATGAAAATCGATTATGAGCGGTGTTCGGTTATAAATGTTTTGATAGGCCGTAATACACATATATACATATTTATGGTTTGAAAGTAATACAACATTCAAATATTTTCCCATTTTTCCTACGTTGATTTTCGAATTTTCCCTTTTAATTTGAAAACCCCTGAGAATATCAAAAAATGACAGCCCTAAAGTACCACCGTAGACAGATTTCCTTTCAGTAAAAGTGCTACACTTGAAAATCGGAGCAAAATTTCTAGTAGAAAAGTTGTTCACAGAAAAACAAAATAAACATCACTGTAAAACCAATACAGAATCTAAAAGTATACAGTCAATTAGCCATAATAATAATAATCAATTATCGAATGCGATTACAGCCAGCTGCATAATTACAGATGTTAGGAAATTTTTCAAAAATAATAAAACAAAAAGTTTTTAATTTAGTTGTTTTACCAAACATAAAAATTTAATTCAAATATAATATTTGTAGTTCTTGTCCATGCATGCAATATAAAAAAAAAAACCGATTTGATTAAATGTATTATCTCTGAAGATTTTGCAATGCACCCTGTAAATATATACACATTTTACAAACTCAAATATTATAAAAATATATTTAAATATTTCCCAGAGTACTCGCACACGGTTTTGTAGACATATTTTTATTAATACGTATACGATAATCGATTCCTACTCGATGAAGGAAGTACTTAAGATGTTTAAGATGTCAATAAAAATTTAAATAAAATACTTTAACACCATCTCGGATTGTACGTACCTAATCGGTATTTATTTGGTGAATTATTATAATGTAAAAATAAATTATTTTTTCTCATTTTAATATTGCGATTAATTTTAATTTTTTAAAATAGTTTTTAGATTCTGAACGTTTCTGATTTATTTCACGTGTTGACATTATATAAATTATTTAATAAATATATATTCTTTTGGTATGTATTTTTTTATTTATTTATTTTTTTTTTTATCATAGGCTACCTTCTAATAATATCACGGACGATATATTATAGTGAAACAACCGCATAAATATTGAAGATTTCGCAAATTGTGTACAAACGAATTTTTTTTTTTTTTTCGCAAAATAGCAAACAACCGGTTAGATGAGATTATTTGCATTTAGAAGACTTGGCGAGGCCGAGTGGTAAAAAAAAAAAAAAAACCCCGACAATTCGTCTAAATTTATAAAATATTTCTTTAGAAAGCGTGATGATAGTAGTACCTATATATATATATATATATGTATAATATTATAAAAGAGAGAAGGAGGAGGAGACGGAGGAGGAGCGAAACCTCTGCGCTGCAGCTGCAGTTGTCACGACGACGCAATATTATTTCTACAACTAGCTACACGAAACCTATCGCCGCACTCTATTATAACGTGTTGCCATTATGACGCGGGCATAATATTGTGTGCTAGAATCGAAACGAAAAGTGTACACAACAATAATATGTCGGGTATACTCGCACGTAAACGCGAGTTTAATATGTACGGGAAAAACGCTGTTGTGCGCAGAGGTTGACCTCGGTCTTTCCAATAAAATTAAAACGCTTTAATTTACCCGGCAATAAAAATATCTGCACGCGTAACCCGGACGGGAACATGCACGGCAAAACAATCGATAATAATATCACGTACACGGTCGCGTTATCGTTCGGTACGCGCGCATCACCTCCTCCTACGCGTATACCCGTGGTTCGCGTCGCACGGTCCCAACACTGATACGCCCGATTGGTCGGCCGGCAGTACAGCGGCAATGAAAAAACGTCACCGTCGACGAGAAGCGGGAAACTACACGGGCACGCACAGCCGACGAAGCGATGGAGTAATTTTCAAGGGACGTTTGCGACAGTGACCGCGCGTTTTGTGACGGGGTATTTGAAACGATGGTCGGGGGCGTCCTGCCATAACTGCGGCACACTGCAGATTACAATAGACGACAAACCGTGTACATTGCTAAACTGGCGATAAAAAATTGAAGTGTCGATCCGCCGTTTAAATTCGAGGCTCGCGGGCTTTATCGGCCGCCTTTACGTGCTGCGAAAACCGTTGCAGTTGCAGTGTAATATTTGTCTAACAACCGCGGTGCCGGTCGACGCGGTAATAGGCAACGGCGAACAGACAGACCCAACAGTAATCACGGTACGAAAAGTACGGAGGGGGAGGGGGAGGGCACGGGCCGCCCGGAATTGAACGGCGACTTCGGCCAAAAGCGTTACTTACGGTATTATGCAGGCAGTTGGCGAGCGAATTTATTTCGCGTGTGCCGCGGCGTACACGATGTATACAGGTAAAATGTAGATAGAAAAAAAAAATTAAACGCGCGCCCGCAGCACGAAAATAGCGTTCGGTCGTGTTATCGAAGACTCGCGCGAGGGGAGGCGGGGGGGGGGGAACGCGTGCCCCGCAAAACGGCGGCGTTCGGGGTGAAAATGTCATGCGGCGGTCGTACACAACATGAAAAAAGGTATCGGAAAGAATATCATTCGTTCGGTTAACGTCCGGACGCGCGATGTAAAGCGACAAAATCATCTGAATTTGGAGCTCGGCAACGCGGACTCATCACTCGGCCGGTGATCGGGCCGGCCGACGCACGTTCGTCGGTTCCCTAATCTTTGTGGCGCACGAAAGACAACGGCAATCTACGCGGGAAAAATAATCCGGTACTCGATGTAATTATTAGCGTTTCGCACTCGCGTTCGTAGACGTGTCGCGTGATACGCAACGGAATACAATATACATTATACGTACGAACCGACGGGGACGAAATATTATAATTATTATTATTGTTGAAGAGGTCGTGTTAAAACAATTGTAACGCGATTGTGGTAGCACTGCGAACTATCGTTATTATTATAACGCGCGCCCGACAGAATTGCTGTTGTTTTTATTCCCCGCCGTTTTTTTTCGACGATGACATCACGTCATGACCATCGACAACTACAACTGCAGCTGGCGAGGTTAACGTCGTTATTATATACTTTTTTTTTTTTCAATAATTTTTCGTAGGTACACGCGCGCGCGTACAGTGCGATGATGGTATTGTAAATGATTCGCCGTATAAGGTACACCCGATAATAGTTTGTAGACAAAATCGAAAACCGAAATCGCAGTACCGGTCGGGATCCTTGGCTACACTTAGAATTATCGTGTATTTCCGCCGTCTTTTTATCGACGATATTTGGACAGCCATACGTTCCGGGTACCCTCGAAACACGCAACTTGTGTTAACGAAAAAAAAAAAAAAAAATTAACTTTACGGCGTATATCGTCACGTTATAATAATATTTTACGAAAAAAAAACATACATAGTCTCTCCGTGATTCGACTCGTGTTCACTCGTGTTTTCCTGTTGTACTAAGTAATAACTGTTTTTTTTTTAATTCTTCGGTGTCGCCAAGGTAACCCATAAAACAACAAAACCGATTGGATTCCCGCGAAAATTCCGAGTCAGCCGCCCAGGAGTTGAATTTCCAAAATGGCGGTGCACACAGACCGGTTCATTCGCTTCTGTGTCTGTAAATTGCAGACCTCTGTCGCGGTGTCGGCCATTATTCTAATGAAAAAATATTCGCTATTCGTTTGTTTTTCATTTGATTAGTCTCTTTTATTCTGTATTCGTGATTTTAATTTGTACCATTACACACCCGTTATTTATCATTCTAGATTTATTATTCATTATTCGGCTATTCGTTTTTCGTTATGCTTTATAATCGTGTTTAACACGAGTTTTTCGTAGATAACTTGAAGTTTAACATTAAATTATAACATATTATCATTATCATGTGTTATCAAAAATCGAGCCATTAATGTTATTGTTATCGATTAGTGGTTTATCTATCATATCGGGTTTACCACTATAGCTATTGACTTGTAATGTGCTCACGTACGGGGTTTTAGTAAAACTATTGTAAATTATTATAAATCAAGTCTGCTATAAGTTATAACTCTGATATGAGTATTGTGCGAAAACGTACAAAACTAGAATAGTATTCAAAATTTATCCGAATAATTTGTTTGTTCGCGAATTGAGCTATTCGCAATAAATTATTTTTATTATCATTTTGAATAAAATATTATTCTTCGTCCACTAGAATAATTAGTTATTCGCGGTATTATTTTGTATATTCATTATTTCGACGTGTTTTTGGCCAACTCTGCACACGATAGGTTCGACTGTGGATCGCGCACAGACACTTCTTTTTACTAATTGTAAAAAATAAAATAATTAATACGAACGGCGGCACAAAGTGTCTCAGTAAAATAACAAAAAAACCTCATATCAACCCAAGCGCAGAAAAATTGGGTGCTGTAACTAATATGCAACAATGGGCGTGTCTGAACTTCAACTGTTTCGTTAAATGTAATACAATGATAAAGTTACATACACACACTCCCCTCATTAGGATCATGAAGCAGCTGCTTTACAGGATATCCATTTGCGCAACTACTGCGAACAGCAGAACGCACAAATGTACATTGCGGTTTGTTTTTCTTTCTTTTTTTAAAAATCATTTCGCTATATTTCTAAAAATGTTTTTGGTTTCGATCGAGCGCCGTTTCGTTTATTTTTTAAAATGCGAAACAAAAAATGTAATACTTTATTGTATTCCTCGAATAATTTCTAAAAACACAAGCGTTAGTCGATTTTTGTTAGATAATAATTATTTTTTTTTATCGAGCGTTTTATAATCGTATAAAAAAAAAAAAAAATTATAACAACTCTTCGGGCCAACTAAAACAAACGCAAATATATTATCATGTTTAATCGACTTAACAACGTTCCATACAATTCGTATAAAACTGCACGCATTAAAACCGTTTAACACGCGCGTTCTTATATTTATATTGATATAGGAGACGACGAGAGGGTGGAAGGAAATACAGTAAAAAAAATCGCTGTTTCGCGTCCCGCCGCAGACGGTGAAACGAATCGTATAAAAAATTATTATTAGTCCGACAATAATCATTAATCAACGTTGTTATTATAATATACTTCACCGAGTCGATGTAAAAATAATAATCATAAATTGTTTTTTTTTTTGGCAAAAATAAAGAACCCGAATGGCGTAGTGTCAGTTATAAAATTTATGTTCACAAAACAATATAAAACGTTAGTAGTAGTCGGAATTCGAAACGGAATCATAATTTCTGAAGCGCCCGAAAACTGCAGCTGCAACAGCATCAGCAGACATCCAGAATCTAAAAGGGCGTGTGTGAGTACATATGTTTACAAAGAAAAAAGAACAAAAAAAATGTTTTATTTGACTCCAATACGTGCTCGTATAATACACAGGATAATCCATTTATCACGAACCAGTGATTTTCTGACATTATATAACAATTTTAAATTTAGACCGGACGTGTAAGGGCAATAAGCTTCATATCCAAACTTTTAGATGATAAATTGATAACCCTTCCGTACTCCTCCGGTCTAAACTTTAAACTGTTATAAAACTCATTAACGGTAAATGTTACATACATCCATACACATTTTTGAATTTGAAAAAAAAGCTTATAAAAAGAAAAACTATTACATTAACGCTCGACTTTTTTTTTACGATCATATAACTTATGACGGGCGTCGTGTAGAATGTTCAAACATCACTGCTCGAACGAAACAATTTTATCTATATAAAACCAAAACAACATTTTTTTAAAAAACGCGAAAATGTCAAATGTCTATAAATAGATAACTCAAAAATCTGCAGAATATTTTGAACGTTTTTCCACGTCTAGAAAAGGCTAATACATTAGACGAACATTTTGGGTTTTTACAATTATTTAACCGAATTACAAAAAAAAAAAAAACTGTTATTATTGCAGTAAACGTTTTCATTTTCCCCCGATTGTTTAAAAAACGATAAGAATAATCAAAAAACGATATTTCTCACGCGCCAATTTTATCCAAAACGTTACGAAACAGCGCGGTTGATGTTTTTTTGATAAACGAAGATTTCTGATAGAAAAATAGTTGAAAAATAAAACACACGCCGTAGTAAAACCGCGGACACTACGCGGCCGTGCTCAGAATCTAAAACAACTACGAGTTATACGATATCCTGAATATTATATGTGTGACCGTTTGGTAGAAAAATAAAACAAAGTTTTACAATAACAACATATTGAATAAAAAACCGTATAACGTACACCGCAGGGTGAACGCTGAAAAAAGAAAATATAACCTAAAAATCGCATAGTAAAATACATTTTTTGTTGTTGTCGGTCCTTTTTTTTTTTTTTTTAACACGAGCGGAATTTCCATTTCATTAGAGACGTAAACCGCGTTCCTTATATACGCCGTTCTCGTATACATTATAATATTAAGCTTGTATTTTATACGCTGCGGTACGTATGTTTTCCCGTAAATACGTATAATAATATACGTGAGTCGAATGAACAACGGAATTCACTTTTCATCTCTCTCTTCCTCCTCCCCCCCCACGTTTTCCACGCAGCGCAATTTTTTCCCTCCGTATCCCCGCGCGCGTAATCATTTGCGGTCCTTTTTATATATAGCGGTCTCCATTGTCCGGCTAAAGGCTGTAATCTAGTGTCTAATACACGTGTGGTCACGGCGGTATAGTATATTATTATTATTATTATTTTATACGGCACACGCAAGAGTATAATATATTTCGTCCGTTTAGCGAAAAAATGTTTTTTTCGCGAAATTAAATTCGTGCGAATTTATTTATTTTCTTTGGTTTTTTTTTTTTTCAACTCCCATTAACTCAATAATTTTTTTATTTGTACGCGCACGGGTTTCCTACTTTACACGTAATTCATCATCGTCGATGATGCATTTCACAATACCGGCTGTTATATAGCATTGGCGCACACACCGGGGTACCAGGAGGTACTCGGCACCCCTAAATCTAAAATCAGCATCCCCCCTGATCTTCAGCCGAATAAAATAAATATAAGCCTCAAACAGTACTCAGATATGAGATAAGAAATTATACTATTATGCTATCGTGTATCCCCTATCCCTTGTTGGTTATTTACTATAGGCAATGAAAGATTCGTTATTGAAAATCGGATATCATTATTTCGATTTTGTAGTTTATTTAATGTGTAATTATAATATATAATTTTATTTTGAAATACCGAATAAGTTGGTAGGAGTGGAGAGAGATAGAGCTCCCTCGTTACACCCTATCGTTAATGATTTTAGCACTCCCAAGTTCTTGACCGAATGTGCGCCAATGGCTGTTTGTATACCTACTTCCGGAGATTCGAGCATTTGTGTATGTATAAACCGTCGGAATACGCGATATTGATTAGAACCGATGGTTTGGAAAATATGACACGGCGGTAGCATGCAACATCGGCGTAAAAACGGGAATCCAATAAGGGACCGAAGAAAACGCCCGTTCACCACGGACGTCTGTTTTGCCGGAGTTTAAATTCGTGTGAAATGTCCGTTCGAATTTTCGTTTTTACGCAGCCGTTTTATCGAAGGACGTGTTTTATTACTGTGTATAATTTGGGATGTACTTTTTTTTTTTTATACACTTTTTCATATCGTCTATAAAATGTAAGAATATAGTCGAGTGAGTAACGAGAGTCAACACTGACCAGCTCAAATCTCGCGTCTATCCGAGTCCATTCGAAAATAGCGTGAGCAATCACACGGGAATCTTCTTCGGGGTACAAAAACGATCGCTGAGACAATCCCTTCTTACGTTTCGATATCCTACAGCCTTCTATATCCAGTGGTGCTCGTGCTGTCCAATATTATCTTCCTCGTAATTCATTCGCATATTTTTTTTATTACGTCTTTCAACCCGATTCTCGGCCTTCCTAGAGGTCTTTTCCCCATCGGGTTCTTGTCCAGTAGTATAGGCCCGGTGACTTCTATACGATGTTCGTTTTTCAATCAAGTTACTTGTTCTTTCTTATTTTCAATCATATAGATATCAATACCTTTTACAACTTCAGAAATATTTCTCGTGATTTTCGTTTCAAACACGATCAATTTATATTCGTCGGGTTTTTATTATTAATGACCAAGTCATCTACAACGGAGATCTCACAGCAGTCGTCCGAACGAAACGTTTGTTTTCCGCCTGGATATTCGCTTCTGTGCCGTTTCATTGATTTCTATTATAACGGTGAACCAGTGTGACCAATAAGTGCATAGCTTAAAATGCTCTTTAATTCTTATCAATCCTAAAATACACAATATCTGGCTTCATATATCTACCCGTAATAATTCATCTTCTATCTGTACAGCGACTTACTTTGCCGCGCATATACGTCCAGATTGAAGACCTTTTAGTTGTCCTCCTTTGTAATGTAAACCGCCGAATATTCGACAGTAATAATATATTATACTTACGCGGGGAACTATTGCAGTAAATATTACGACTACCTGCATAACGTATTCGACTATAACACGCGAATAACAAAAATCAAACACGTCACGCAGAAATAGTAACGCATATATTATATATAATTCTCTTCGCACGTTTTCACGTACAGTACCCGTATACTTATAAAATATATTGTGTGTACAGTTTTTTGACAGTATATAATATGCATATTACACTTTGGACACTGTTGAAACGTACGGTATCTACCTTGTACCCTAACCTGACTGTACTGTTATTATATAATATACGTATACCGACGACGATGACGGTAAATAAATTATAATAATTATTTTCAAATCACCTATAATACACGCGATCAACACGCGGTATAAACGCGTATTTTATACTAATCACGCGAGTGCGAAAATTAAAAAACAAAAAAAATCAATTAGAAAAAAAGATGTACACCTATAATATTATAGTATACGTAAAGGTCCGCGTAAATAATTGCGATTTTTAAATAACGATCGTATTTAACTTGAAAACATCACGGACGGGATGAATATCAGAATTGTTCGTGATGTCCGAAATGTGTGCACTGTGTATAATATGTTATTTCTGTAAGCAGTGGTATTTTAATAGCTAGAGCTATAGTGTACTGTCGTATTAAGGACAGAAGCGCCCGGTTTTTAAAATATCACGGGGGGGCTCACTATTTCATAAACGCATGTACAGTTTTACCTAAATCTTACCGTATATTTGATATTAATATTTTCCTTAAATTGTTCGTTAAAAAAAAAACTAAAATATAGTTATTTGTTGTTTTGTAAATTTTAAAATTATGCAGCATCGTGAATATGCACTTAAAATTCGTAAAAAAAAAACGCTTAAATCATCAAAAAAGTACACGAAAATATTTAAAAAAACATAAGTGGAATACGAGTTTTAAAGTCCTCAATCTGACGGTTCTCATCCCATTTTTCGAACACTGATAAATGATTAACACAAAGCATTTTACTTTTTATAACACGTACGAATTAATTTGAAAAATATTACTTTGAAATAAACATTTTTTTAGTGTTTTTTAAACGCTTTTTTGTGAATTTTAAGTGCGTATAAATCCGTGTCCTAATAGTGAAAAAACACAAGACAATCGACGCTTTTTCTCTGCTATCGATATCGAAATAAAAAAAAAACGTTTATCTCTTTCAGTTTGTTTGTTATAAATAAAATCAGTATTTTGAGGACGTACGTGACAAAAATATTGAATTTTTTTGTATAATAATATAAGAACCGACCGTGAGGGGCTGAACTCCGTTTTATCAAGCTCGTGAGCCCATATGCGGCGCCCCTGGTAAAATATAAAAAAAAAAATTAAAACATTTTATCGCGCAGCCTCACTGCGACGTTTAACGGAACCCAACCTGCCCCTATCCCCTGCCCGAAACGAGCGCCGTCTGAAACGTATATTCTAAAACGGACGGTTAAAACCGATAGTGTTGTTTGCGGTGGCGTTCGTGTAATAGCTGTGCACGTATATCATATATTTGAGATGCGCGTCGATCGTTATTGTCGATCGTTTCATCGGTGACCTAAATACACGGCGATTCCTAATACATTACATAATAATAATAATCATATCGTTTATAAAATATAATAATAATTATTGTTGGTACGTTCTATAAGTAATGGTTTTGACATTGCGTCTCGTACGCGCAATTAACACGAGCGTTTCGGCCGAGCAATCCTGCAGTTTTTTTTTTTTTTTCGTTTAAACACACCGTGCGCTATTATAACGCCGTCTCCGTCTTACGAACGGCACGCGGCGGAACCGATGATCGGCCGTCGGTTTCGATATCACAGCGAATCGACCTGGCCGTTATCACACTCTACGAAAGGGAGAACGCCATTGGCCGCGTTCCCGCGTCAGTTTATCGTTCGTATTAAATTGTATTTCATCGAAACAGTACATTAACGAGTACGCGATATATCGCGGTTTACAAACGCATGCACGTCAATCGAGATCCGGGGGGAAAAAGTCCAGGGTTGGAACGTATAACGTGCAGTAGTAAAGTATAAAACGCGTATTAAACGCACGTATAAAACTATTAATTGTATACATGTTTCATATTGTATACAATTTGTTTTTGGCCGCGATCGAACGGAAATTATCAGGTAAAATAACTGTCAATAGAATTTAATAATCATTTTTTATATACCTGTTATTAATCACCCGAGATGTATGTGATAATTTGTTATATTACCGAGTTCATCTTTATTCTTTGTTAATACCTAACTGCATTAATATTTATATAATACCGAAAAACAATTTCTTTTGTTATATTCTAAATTTAAGGAAATTCCGAGCGATTTGTTAATTTGTTATATTAATTTATGAGTTTAAATACTTATTAAAATTTAAAACGTACAGTGTTATCACTATTATGATAAATTTCAAAAAATAATAATAATGTCTTAGTCGTTTTATACGTATAACGTATAAAACATTTTATAGGTACGCGGATATTACCAACCCTGGAAAAAACCAACGTGTGACCACGGTCATCCCTTTGAGTTGAATATTTTGATCGGTCAGTCAATTCGCTGTGATATTAAATCCGCGAGCGCGATTAAAAATTATACGACAACGCGGCCGATATCCGGAGGTGATGCGATTTAACGAATTACCCTCCCTTCCAATAAATAAACCTCTCGGCGTTTTCGTCGCTTAATAATAGTAAACAGTACTTATCCCGTTGATCGAAACGTGCCGTTATATACAATTACGCGTTGGCAAATATTTATCGGAATCTAAACAAACGGCTTAAACATACGAAATACGCGAAAGCTGTTGAAATAGGCGGGGACGGGATTGTTTATAACGACCGGAGTCGTGGAAAACTGTTCCGATTAAAACCGCCGAAAATTTGCGTAATATTTTCCGTATACCTGCAGCTGATTATTATTATAGCCGAGCAATTAATTTCCGACAAACGTTACGGCACGGGTCGGACCCCGTGACCCCGGAGCGGATTTTGAATTAGCGCCCGTCATCCCCTCGAAACCGCCGCCGATAGGTTTAACCTAAATACATATTATATTTTATTGTATACTTAACGGGTGCCTACGCTCAAAACATATCCGAAAAAAAGTACGAAACGGACGCCTATATTATTACAGTTGTATAAATCGTAAATTTCAGTACATCCTATACATACGTACTTATTATACAGCGTTTAATATGAATTCACACACACACGCACCACGTCCATCGGGTGCTCGCGAAATACCGTCGAGATTTTTGCCAAGTGAAATCCGGTCCCAGCGGTTAATATTAATAGCCTGTACACACACACACACACACGTAATATATATGTATATAACACGTACATACGGATTTCTCCGCACGCCCTTCCCAGCTCCGGATCATCGGAGGTCGTCGAACCTTTGTGTCTGTACGCTGCACGCACGCTGTACAACAGCTGCTCGTGTTTTTTTTTTTGCACATAATATTATAAAACGCGAGCGCGCGCACCGGCGAAACGTTTCGCGTATTGCGCGTATATTATATACATATTATACTACGCCACGACGATTTGTGCAAAAAGAAAAGAGAGAGAAAAAAAATCGGTTTTTTTTTCCGCCGCCGTATTGTCGGTTTTTTTTAATACGTGTATGTTATGGTTTTTTTTTCCCCGTTTTTTACAAGCGGCGGCATTTTTAAGCGGCAAACGCTGCACGAGGATCACAGACGCTGTGCACGCATATACACGCGGGGCGGGCTCGGTCGTAATTATTATAATAACACGTCGTCTCTACATATCGCTACCAAACTAATATAATATTATACAAATAATTACAAAATAATAACAATAATTAATACTCACCAAATGGTCTTGGGTTGCGCCGTGCCAAAAACGCGATTTCGCAACGTCCGCGGGGACCGGGATTGTTCGTCCGGTGACGACCTTTAAACCGCAGCGGAGATTTCGTACCGTCGCCGTACGGGTCCGCTCGCCAGCTATAGAAACAAAACAAAAAGAAAAAAATACGTTTAATTTATTTTTTTTCTCGTAACAACGGTCGCGTATTATAGATAGTGTACAGGCACGATTGCCGTTCGACGGACGGTATCGTACGCGATCCGGACGGGACCAGAAACAAAAAACATAAAAAAAAAAAAAAACCGTGACGTTACGCACGCAACCGACTGTTGTACTAGTCCCGCGGTAACTGTGCGGCGACGACGGCGGCGGCGGCGCCGGCGGAAACAGCCGTAACATACATTGCGTTGTCGGTCGTGTAAAAAAAAAAAAATTATATACAGGGTATTCGTAATTTCACGATACAATCGAATTTCCCGCGAAATTTATTTCGGTTTTTTTTTTTTATGTAATGGTTAATTACGCGTCTCTCGTTTCGGAAAACGTTACATCGCTCTTGTTGTTTCTCCTCCCCCCTCCCGGGGGTAAAACCGCTACCCGCTTTCGGTTACCCGCACCGACCTTTTGAACGGTTTCGACGCGGACGTTTTTCGTTTTTGGTATTTCCGCAGAGTAGTTGGCCCCCCGTTTCACGCACCGCGGCCAACGTCATATTTTGTACGGCGGCGTTTGAATTTACAACGCGTCCTCCTGCACTTTTACTCGTGCCTGCCCTTGCCCGCACTCAAAAGCGGGGAACGTCTCGCGTTAGTTGAAAACGCCGAAGAGCGCAGTCAAACTAAAACAACACAACATTTCGGAATATTATAATATAATGTATTCCGAAAAGTTTTTACACGAGTCGGGAGAAGAAAAATACAAGTATATATTTCGTGGAATGTAACCCGAATAATCACGGAGACCCTGTATAAACCTCGCATATTGTGTTTAAAATTTCAATTTACTTTAAATAGGTGTACACGGAATAATCGATATATCATGTACACTGTATATTATGGTGGTACCTAGATAGAGTTAAATAAAAAAAAATAATAAAAAACAACCGATAAAAGCGCGTCGTTACAACGGTTAATAGTATAGGTACTTATTGTGTTGTATTATCGTCCTCGCGCGTTATCATCATCGTCATATTATTATTATTATTGTTATTGTATAACAGTGGCGTCGTTTCAATAGTCGGTAGATGGCACTCGTCTATCGAATCTCGGCTATATTTACCGAGAGGAAAAAATACTAAGATATTTGAAAAACGAAATATTAATGTTAACACCGTCGGTCAGAAAAAAATGTAAACTCGTATATTTGACCGCGAATTGGGTAGGCGCTCATCCGCAAGGGCGCACGGACAAATAAAGGGTACCTATCCTATGTTAAACGTTTTTCGAAAAGACTGTACACTGCGACGTGTATTTTTCCTGTATAGCAGACCCAAAAGCCAGATGGCGACCGCTACTGAATGGTATAAACGCTGCATTTTAATCTATTCGAAACGAATTCGTCCCAGATATCCACAGGTTGTACACTAGTTGGATCTCGAGTTAATAGTGAGTAGATAAAATTTCTAAAAAATACTACTGATCAAAATGAATAAGAAGTTATGGAAAAACGACGGTAATGTATTTAAAATAAAAAACATTTATAAATGAGAAAAAAAAACATTACCAACATAAATCGTTTTGACAAAGTCAAAACGTTCCTCTCTTAAACATCTTTATCAAAGTACATTTTAGCACATAAGTATTAAATGATATTAAATAACACATTTATTTTTTATACATAGGAGTTAAATTAGTATATATTGAACTACCGGAGGCCACCTTCTTAATGTTTTCTAAAATATTAATTCACTTGGTAAAACAAAAATGTTTTAATCATAACTGAGTCGTATTTTAAACTACAAATCACTGACAGTCTTAAGTCTATAAAAATGAGAAGGACAATTTTTTTTATTGCTTGTAAACGCTTGAACCCAACTAATATATCTATAACCTGTCGAAAGCCGGGACCCAACTAGCATAGTGCCCAAAATTCATTGGGACCCAACTATAGTGTACTACTTATCAAAACCATTGGCATCCGGAACCCGATTCGGATGCAGCCGTATATATAGTTGTAGACGTCATAGTATAATGTATAGAGGTGTCTATATTGTATTATTATACATTAAAACTCGCTAAAGACGATTCCGCTTAAGACGCTGTTTTCCGTCGGCCCCAAGACATTTCTCCTATACTAGTCAATGTATTATTCACCTGTTAAGATGCTCGGGTTTTCTCGTGTTAGTGTTCGATCAATTTAAATTATTTATTGTTTTACAAAGAATGTGTTGTTTTTTTTTATTTTACAAAATCGTTAGAGGAAACTCCGACTCGTATACAAACAAAATGCCGAACAAATAACCAGTATATTTTTAAAATTATAATTTTATAAAGACGCATTGTAATAGGTATAGATACACTATACTATTATATTAAATATATAGTATAGAAATTTTATATTCGCGGTTAATGAAACCGTGTTTGAAAAATACTTTCATGCCAAAGCATTAATTACAGGGTAATTTCCTGCTAACTTGTATTATTATTATGTTCGTATTATTACCAATACGAGTCGTCAGCTGTTGGGTTCGGTCTCAGAAACGTCGAAAATATTGACGGCGTAATCGAGTAACATACAATACGGTGCTCGCACTAAAGAATAGAATATTTCGGAATATAACCTCGAAATCGAAATAATACATCCAATTATTCTAGACAATGATATTATACCCGTCCGGAAACACGCGATAACGATAACGCGGCCGAAATAACCTACCGCCCAAACCTAACCTAACCTTTAAACCTATACGGAACAAATTACTGTTGTTTTTTCTAACGTGTATAACACCTTTCAATATTACTCCAAAAGACTGTGTATACAGTAACGATCTATTTTAACGGCCGGTCTATCGTCGCTTACGGATGCACATTAAATTGCCGTCTGTAGCCTACCTTTCGTAGGCCCAAACGAAATCGGGCCTCGAGATCTCTGAATCTCCGTGCGCCGGTCCGCCAATGCGCCCCGTATTTTAGAAAGGTGTAACAAACTCAAAATCCGTGTGTGTGTGTGTGTGTGTGCGCGCGCTCGCTATAATAATATACGGAAAGTCCGAGACGAACGGCAACCGGCATCACTACGGTTTGTTGTAACACCGCGGTGTTTAAAACACTGCTGGAAATAAACAATATCCGCTCGACTCGTTCTTGTGTGTACTGATGATTGGTCGCTGCGCGTTCAGATCCCGGTGTGCGCGGACGTCGCATACACTTTCGGACGGTTTACTCTACGCGTGCGGATTTTTGTGATCGCTAAATAATTATAAGAAGAGTCGAATTGGCGGCGGCACAGTAGACGAGACCGCGCACACGGCGAAAACCCGTTGTGGAAAAACACCGAACGCCAATGGTGCGGACTGCGGCAACTCTCGGTCCGACCTCGGCGAACCATATCAAAATAAAGACGTCGTCCAAGAACGTTAGCAAACGCTCAACAAAACGAAAAATCAGACGTATTTGAGGAGTCTCTGAAACGCGCGTAACCGCGTGCTCGATTGGAAAAAGTCGAAACGGCTGGGAATGCCGAGAGTTGAGATTCCGAGGTAATGTACACAGTCACGATTAGCAATCCGTCCGTGGACCTCGACATTTTTGAAATCTTAATGACGGCTGCTAAAAAAAAATTCATGAGCGTCGTCCGCCGGAAAGGCCTGGTTTCCGAGATCACGCTGTCCTTTTCCAAGCGGACGATCGCGTTACCATCAAATAAGTTTTCGGTTATTTTTAATATTTAAATTTATACAATTTTGATTTTTTTTTTTTCCTAACATTTTTCATATTTTTTTTTATTATCAGTAAATGACCTTTGCTATTAATACAGGGTGTTCTGTTTAATAACACGACAACGATCCAGAGTAGCGACTGTCAATTTCTTAGCTCTAATTGATAAAGCAGCAGTTGGTAATACTTTGTAAAACCGTAGTTTTATGAAGATGTTTATTTTTTTATTATTTTGTTTTTTGTTTCTGGGGAAAATTTTTTTACAAGAGATCTTGCTTCGATTTTTAAGTGTAGCATCTTTTCTAAAAGGAAATCGGTGCGGTAAGGTTTATTAAAGAGATTATTTTTCGATTTTCTCAGCAGTTTTCTCAACAAATGAAAAACCGAAAACAAAAGGAGGAAAAACGGGAAAATGTACGAAATATAGGTATTAGTTGAAAATATATTATGGCCTTTTAATTTCCCGTGAACAACTTTACTACCAGCAATTTTGCTCCGATTCACAATAATAGTACTTTTTCTATAAGGAAATCTGACAGGAAAGGTTATTTTTTGATTTTCCTAGGATTTTTCCAGCAAATGTAAAATACCAAGATGAAACATGGGAAAACTGGGAAAAACGTAAGAAACCCGAGAAAATTGGTACAGCATTAAAGAAATATACAAAGTCTATTTAATTATTTTACTATAATATGGTATATATATTGTTGACAAAGACTATCAACTGAACTCCAATCAGAATCGATTTTTCTTAAATAATAGTTTATCGTTGCTTACAGGTAAATATTAAATTACCTATAACAGTGGCCGCGTCCGTTCCCATTATCCTAGGAAGGTTTTTATTTAATTGTCCAAAAAAGAAACGGTTACGTCAAACAGAGAAACATCATTTAATTGGTTTTTAGAAATTATCGAAGAGCCCGGGTATACGGGCGTTACAATAAATATAAAACGCGAAGTCGACCAGTCAAACGTAAAAAGTGCATGTATGCATCTATTCGGCGATAGCACATTACCATTATTAAATCTATGACAACTTCGTAAATGTTTGATGTCAAAGAAGTCGCCTCCTATAATATTCTCGCGTAGGTATCGTGTATAAACGCGTACAATCCACCCTGTTGTAAATTATTTACAACGCGTTCAAACGAATTATCATTATTTCTTTATCAACTTTATTATGCATTTCGTTTTGTCTCACTGTCGTAAAATATTATTGAATTACCCAATGGGCGGCTTCAGCTATTGAACATGATAATAATATATGGTGTTTACTCACAAAGCTACACGCGTGTGTACAAATTGCCTAACTATTTCTCCTTGTATACTAACGTCGGGTAAACCGTTATACTGCAAACATGCCGAATAATATTCATTATTCGATCATCGAATATGGGATAATTGTTCGTCAAATTATTATGAAAACAATAACGATATTCTGAGAGAGACAGAGAGAGAGCAGAAAGGTAGGTATCGAGTTCTGTACAGAATCCTCGACAAGACGCTCACTATCCCGGAAAAAATTAATAAAGTATTATATTATTTATTATTGGGACTTCCTCTGATTATTGAATTTTTAATACGGATTGTTATTTAGTAGTGGTTTCACTCTCGCCAAAAGTAATGGTGACAAAATAATAATATTTTAAAGCTGTCTGTTAAGTTGGCAAAAATAAAAATGTTTTAATTCCAACACTTTCCGATATAATGTGTAGCTTATATCGACTGACCATCCGGTATAGACAACGTTGATGGAAACAAAAACGATTTTAATACATGCGAAATGACAATATTTAATAACTTTTCACCACGTGTAAATAACAAAGAAAAAATTATTAATATTTTTTAAATTGTTATTATAATAAAGAAATTGTACAAAAATATTGTTTCAGAATTATAAAACTAACTAACAACCTAGGGTTTTTTTAGTTGTACGTTTAAATATAATCGTCGTTCGAGTGTAGGTATTATTCAATAAATCAATAAATATCGTTCTTTATTCTCGAGAATTTGATACCGAAAAACAATAACTAGAACCAATAGATTTGCGTTTGTTATAATCAGTTTTGTTTTATTATTATTTTTAGACTGAATGTTTTGAGTGAAGTGAGAAACGGAGAAACAGTTTAACAATGTGTTTGTTTTGTGTACACAACTTTTCTACCAGAAATCTCACTCCAATTAAAAACTTTACAAAAACTTTCTTATAGCATTTATAATCTAGCTGGTGCATTGAAGTGGTAATTTTTTGATTTGTATTGTAGTTTTCTTGATTGACAGACAAAATACGACAAATAATACTCCGCTCAGATTCATTTTTCGTTAGTAATGGTTTATCGTTACGTAGATTTCAATATAAATTAAATTACCTTATAATGTGAATGTCACTTCAAACTTTACTCACAAAAAAGCGGCACGTCCGTCGGGAATATCAGCCTTACTTTCCTTAATCGTTAACACCTAAATCATTGCCCTTTCGCACATTATTTGTCCACTTTTAGCACACGTCCTTGCACCCTAAATATAATCTATGATTATTAACAATGTTATCACAATGATTTCTAACTTTTTAAAATACCTATGTCATTGTGTTGTGCAATATTAAGTAACCATTAAAATTTTATAAAAATATTAAACTTTGTACTTTATTTCCATACACTTTTTTTAACGATCAATAATATCACATCGTAAAAAACAAAACAAATTACGGTTCGAACGTTGTATTGTTTTACACGAACAACAATAATATATTATAACTTCGAATTTTCCCGTTTTATCTTTTTTCTTACCTAATTATTTTGTTCGATAAAAAAAAAATTATAATTGAGACTGAAATTTTCGTTCGCACCTATAATATACATTATTATAAATGATGGCTAGGAAAAAATACAAATTATTACAAAACATTTTTGTCGCAGCGTTCGTCTATATGATTTTTGATTTCTACAAACCGTACGGAGGTAAATTGTTTAAGATTAACAAAATAAAGTGTGCGTTTTTCTTTTTTTTATTGATTTTGCGTAAATGGACTTTTTTTTACAACAAATAATATCAAAAAGGCCAGTTGCACTATATTATTTAAATTCATTAAAAATTGCTTTGAGCAACTATATCGATCAACTGTTTCCCGATGCCTCTTGATTCGTACACATTCCATAGATTTTCACACCACGACATGACGCCGTCTGGGTCTGACGCGGTCAGGCAATTAAGTTTTGGAAACGGTGTAAAGTCGATTAGCTTTTAAGTCCAGTTTAGGCTACAAATTTTGTTTGCACTCGGAATCGGCGGCTTACCACGCGGGTGGGTAGTTCACTTAAAAATACAAAAACTACCAGTACCTATTTATTTAGTCATTTTATCTGCAGTAAATGATATATTTCAACCGAGTTACAAGGGAGGGGGGAGTGAAATCTATTGAATGAAAATTGACCATTAATCATGATTATTATACACAACATCCTACATTCCCGTTGAGAATTCCCGGACGCAGCCACCGTTCGAAATCGTTTATTTTCAAAATGTCACTGCTTGAACTTTATGATTATCGGTACCAGAAACCGACGTCAGACCCGTCGCGTAAAATCGCACAGATCACCGCAAAGCGCACCAGAAAAAAAACAGAACTGACGTCAACGCCAAAACCGATTTTTGCGATAGATTAAAAATCGAACAATATAAATATATACAGGCTTTTAGATATTTTTATGAGATCATTCCCAATAAGTATATGTACGTGAAAAACTTCTAAATTATAATATTATTGTTTTAAATGTGAATAATTATGTATATACGCGTATTTATATATATATTATAAAAAAATCATAAACAAAATGTATGTACGGCATAATGACGTCATTGAAACACGTAATGTTTTACGAGAAAAATTAATGTGCTATTATCATATTGGTAAAAATAAAATACATACAATATTACAGCTATTAAATCGACTATTATTTTTTAATTAAGATAAGAGGTTTTTTTTTTAAGTTTTTTGTTAAACAAATGCTCAGTTGTGTAACAATATAATATCATATATATTGTATAAACGTTAAATATAATTATTAATTAAACAAAAATCGTAATTTAATATTAAATTTTTTGTACATACATATTTCCTCAAACGCTATTATTTAATTAATTTTTCAAACAAATTGCTATTTTTATGTTATTGCTATAACAGTGTCGAATGTATACAATATACACTCACTAAAAAAAAAAAATGCATGACAAATTATGACGCGAGAGCTTGAAAATATATAATAATATTATTTTCGAGTAATAAATTGTCGGTGAACAATAAATATATTATACTATACGATAATAAGTGATATATGGAAATAAACGAAAAAGATTGACCTCACGTGATGGGTTTAATATATTATTATTATGATAGTGTACTTGAAGATAACGCAATAATTAATATAAATTATAATGTCAAATCACGTGCGTTGTGTCCATTTTTTTCCCTGATATCGCGAATAAATTATTGCAACAAGCCAAAAAAATTTCATCTACATCTTTATCAATAATGTTCCGTATAATATACTCATATTCACATCCATTGAAAATATTTCCAGTCAAATTAAACGAGAAAAAAAAAGCCAAAATCAGGAAATATTTAACTTCAGTTGGATTTTGGTATATCTATACATTAACCGTTGAAAACTGCTAAAAGTCCTGATACCTACAACCTGTACGTACATAACATCAGCCACCAAACATTGGTGAAATCGATCTACCCTATCGTTAAACTGTAAAATATATAGAACAAAAATGTAAAACCTTAAAATATTATGTTATTGGAATCAGTGGCATAGCCGGAAAAATATTTCGCGAGGAGGGGGAGGAGTCACTAAAATTGAATTTTTTTCTATTCTTTGCAATATAATAAATAATCGAATACTATAACATACAATTTTGTACTATACTACACAATAATTATGACATTTTCAAACAAATGGTGAAATTTGATCGTAAAAATAGTAGAGATGAAGGTTAAAAGTTGAAACCCTCAAACGGCAAATATTTGATACGAAGGTCATAAATATGAAATTGTATCCCTTGACTTCATTTTAGGGTCTGTAGGAGTGTTTAAAACTAAAAAGAACCACACACCTCCCTCAAAACCACGGTAAATTTAAATTTAAATTCAAACAAACTTTTAACACTTCAATCCGTTTATAAAACAACACTAATTTCCGAATTTGAAGTTATTTGATCGAGAGGAAGCCGTTGAAAGTGTTCAAAAAAAAGTAACAGGAAAAAAGATTATAATAATGTACACTTATTAGTTATACATAACAAACACAATACAATCTATATTTTCGAGGTAAATTCAACAAAAAGGTTGACAATGATGACAATGAAGAAGACATTTCGTAGGGAAAATTATGTCCCCTAAAACTCCCAGGCTACGTCACTGATAGGAATGTACATCATTTTGCATGGGTATGTGAATTCTGGCGAGATGGCGGTAAGCACAATGTTTTTTGAACCGTACCTATAACTTACCGTTGTACGTCAAAATGATTTATTACAAAACAAAAAGACCTAACAATCCGAACATTTTAACATAACACACGGCCGGTTCTTGAAAAAATCCACTACTAAATATAAATTGAAAACAAAGTAATGATTTTAGAGAGCGTACATATGCATTTTCATGTTTGCGACCTCGCATACATCATATGATAGTTTAACCCTACACAATACGAAACCCTGTACAGTACAATACGGTTTTTGAAAAGCTCGACTTGCGTTTGTCATGGTTTTATTGGAAATATCCGCCAGTCTCGCGGCTCGGGATTCCACACATTTAATTTAAAATGTTTTCCATCTCTTTTATTTTCACTTTCCTTCGCTACTATATATATATACTGCAGTATTTCACCCTTTGTATACGCGAAAAAATCCAACCCGTAATATGCAAATACTCTGCGTGTATACGTATGCACATTACACGTACAAGTATATATATATGCACGCGACTTCCATTTTTTCCGAGTCTCTTTGTAATGTGTCGACGCGAAAAGTAATAAAAACATAATTTATTTAAATTATTATTATACTACCAGGGCGATGACGACGACGACGTTATTGTTGCGGCAAGCAAACGTAGGTAAACATTTACCGTATTTTGTTCGAGGTGAATTTCGGCTTTCTGTCTGGAGGTCATCATATTATCGTTAATATACGAACATTGTAGTGTAATATATTATATAATATAATGATAATAATCGTCTGGCTATATTACGCGAACACAGTAGATAGGTATCTGCGAATTTAATTTTATTATTATTATGACGCGGATATACAGCTTGGGTTACAGTATTTCCAATAATAATTAATAAGGAAGTCAAAATCGGACTTCATAATACCGGTAAATTGCAGTAATAATACATCTAAACTACATAGATAAACGAAACAACTATATAAATATAGCCGACTGGACGAGTAAATGCTAAGTCTGGGCCACCGTAATATTATTATTGTTATAATATTACCGAGCGAGTGAATATTATTGTAATACACGCGAAAAGACTGAAAACTATTCGAAATCGTTTACATCGAGTATAATCTGTTTCTATTATTGTTGATTAATCTGCAGACGGCTATAACCCGTCTAATCGGATGCTATCGTGAATGGATCCAGACGGACAATTGTACGGGAAATTAAGGAACAACATATTCCGTCTAGTTAAAAAAATCAGATAATTCGTTTTATAGTCTGTCCATCGGATTGACAGTATTCGTATATTGATCACAAACATTTATTTTACAGATTTCCATCAGATTAATGCCAATCAGATTTATACATCGTTGCTACATAACCCGTAGAATAAACAAATATCGTATGAGCTGCTAAACTTCGTATCTATTGTGTTACACAAAACATATGACGTTACTTATTTGAGAGCTATACAATAAGCGAGAGCTCTTGATCGATACGAATTCAGATAGATATTGTACAAATACCTACAAGTATCTATTAAAACAATTTTAAAAATTAAGATAACAAAACGAAACGGTTTTCGTTTATAATTTGATTATAGTCACCAGTAGAAAATTATTTCAAAACGTACGAACACACTGTACGAACTGTTGGCGTTTTAGTGTACGACCTGACTAAAACGGAGAAATATATTCATCACGCCGAAGATCGCGAAACTCTCTCCTATGTAGATAAAATATTTCTGAATGTAAAATTAGTGTAACAAAAATAAAAAATCGCAAATATTTCAAAGTATTCGTTAAAATCGGCACCAATGTATTAATGTCAATGCCACAATTGGAAAATTATACTGTTTTAATAATGGAAATAACATTAAAACGGTGCTTCGGATTGTGAAGGTTTCTACTAAATTATTATAGTCGTTACTGTCACTGCAATGTCGTGGGACGAATGGCCGAATCGAGCGTAGGTGTTTACCTCCTATAGTATTATTATAGAGAACAACATGCCGAAAATGTCGGTTTCGAACACCGTGTAAGGGCGGAAAACTTTTCACGCCAAAAAAAAAACACGTAAAGGTTATACGCATAAATGACCGGTACACATTTTATCACCGTCGTGTTGTCCAACACAATCAATACCGACAGTACGGATACAATAATCAATCGTTCTTAAAAAACCTAATCTATAACTATGTATGCTTAATACCAAAGGCAGATATTCGGTCACATCTATATGCGTAGAGGGCTTGACGTTTTTACCGCGGTTTTAACCTATCCGTTTATTAAACCGTTAACTTTAACCTGCTGCTTGTCACTACTGATAGTCGATTTAAAAACGGTACATTCCGTAAAATATCGATAAAAATAAATTCCTCCGAATAACGTAGTTAGCACATTTATCAAGAAGTATTGTGGAAAAAGTAAATATTTTCACGGCTTAAATCGTTTTAAGTGAGGGGACTTGGATGTATTCTGTGGGGTTTAAGCCCCCTTAATCCCCCTAACATCCACCTATGACTAATATCTATATTATACGCGGTCTCAGTTCGATGAAGTACACGTCGATAAAATAATAACCGATATAGATGTGGAAGATCGAATTCTGAATGACAAACAAAAAAATATCAGAACAATTTCAAAGAAGCATAACGTCGTTATTGTATAATGAGTTATACAGAATCGTTATAAACGTTTATATCGACCGATTCGATTTTGATTGGGGCGATTGAATGAGGGTGCAGGCATTGGGTACTGCAGCTGCATTGTTATGAAAAATGTCATATTATGACATAACATCGCAACTTTTTTCAATGGTTTCACCGAATGAAAGTGGAAATCTGACTGCCGAATTTTCTATTAGACATAATAATATTTCGCAAATTTTTGGAAAATTCCATATAACTAAAGATGATTGTAGAAATGTAAAATAAAAAAAGAAGCCCGAGATATTGTTGTAGCTGGGAAGTTCGGAAGGTACACGGATATACAGGAAAATAAAGTTTATAATAATTTACCGAAACTAACGTTGCGACAAAAAAACGATTCACAGGAAATCTCGGTACGGTTAGCCGTGTTTTTCACAAGCAGCCTAGCTAATCTGTCAAGATGTTTCAACTAAGAGTATCGCCGGGTAAAAACCCGCATCTTCTATCGATACACGATGCGAACGATTTAAAGCGTTTTTACTAACCGAAATATTGTTTTCTGAGGGGGGGGGGAGAATCCCCGTAAAAGGACGTACCGAGTGAACCGTATGTTTTTAAAAAAATGCCCGAGTAAATCGTACCGTCGGGCGGTAAATTTCGTATTTTTCGAGTTACTGCATTATTGTAAAACTAATATTCTCATAGTTTCTTTGCTCCAATAAAAATCCGATGAAATACAAAAACGCCGACTCGATTATCGCTGTAATATTATATGGCGTCATGCGTTTGGGCGAATCGCCTTTCTTCTCCACATAATAAAAACAGTGTGTTTGGGCGAATTTCTAATAACGTGTTTGAGCGAATGAGTACAATAGAAAATATAAAAGATACAATTGTAAACAACACGTCACACCAACAATTTCATAGAATATCTGCGTACAATATTTCAAAACCGGTTTTCTATATCTCCAAACAGATAAAATAACAAAAATTGATATTTCCTTGTAAGTAATACGTATTATATAGATCTAAACTTAATAGTTATAGTTTTTCAAATAACGGGTTTGCTCGCACATTGGAGACGTGAACTCATTACAGTGTTTTGGTTATTGGTATTTAGTACTATTATGGTTCATAGTTATTAATTATATTATCGTATACCAAATATTATGCGTCATAAAATTGAAACCGCTTATACTACAAAAAGAAAAAACGATGCATTTCGATTGAAAATGTTTAATCATACACTCGACAAATTTACAAACCGAGTTCCAAGTTTGTCAAAATGTTCGGGAAAATAAATTGTTATAACACGCCTGAACACACACATCACAATATTTTTAAATCACTCGCTCAAACGCATTATAGAAAATTGGCCAAACATAACGCAATTTTTACGAAAGAAAAACGCCCGATATTATAATACTTATATAGAATAATCAATAATCATTATAGGTAGTCTCGTTTGAACGTAATATATTTTTCGGTTCTGTGTTCGTACAAAATATGCATGTATCGTATTCGGGCTATTCAACCATTACCATACGCTCATCTTCGCTCTCCACCATTCCCGCGTGAGCCCGGGTAATCGTAAAAAAAAATATAAGTCTCGAAAATCACTTCCTTTTTTTGGCGAGGGGAGGGAAGGGTGAGGGAGGGATCGATGGAATTAAACAATATTAGTATTGAGTTATAATAACTAGTAACAATAGTTGTACATTCTATTTTCTGTTGACGAGCACTCATGCGTGTGGCGGTTATAATTCAACATTATTATATCGACCCGCACAATGGAGAAAGAAACCTCGAACCCCGGTACTTCACGGTTTCTTCGGGACGAATTATTATTGTTTTCATGTTTTTCAGTCCCAATCGTTCGGCACCCGGATCTGAGCTATCTTAGATACTTTTAATTAAGATAATAAGATAAGATAAATAAGATATTTAAGATACGTATTTTTTATGTTTTTATCGAAAGACATAATTTTAGTGTATCTTGTAACGTGTACTGAAATACTTATTTGACTTGTATCTGGCATCCTTTTATGATTAAGATACTAGACACATTCAACAATTACGTTTTATTTGTAAAACAGTTTTCCTAATTGCCCAATAACAAGTTTATATACCTATATATACCATTATCTGGCGATAATATATTAACGATAAGTTTTCGTTGGTCTGTCGGTTCATATTTTCTGTCCGTCTCGGGCGTATTATGCATCTACGCGGTGTTTTTGTGATGAAAATAAATCATTATTTTGTGCGTTGCTTTAATATTATTCGGGAAATTATACATATTTAATATTTTCAAATATCTATTATTAAAACCGTGCAAAACCAAAATATAACGCGATAATTATAACATCAATTACTAACTTACATTATTACTCAAATAGTGAATAAAATAATAAACGTGTGCAAAGTGTCTTATACATCTCACGTGCACCTCAGATACCGGTAACTTGTATCCGGCATCTTTAAAAATATCATAGTATCTCGTATTTAAGAATACTATAATTAAAAATTATAAAGTCAAATTATTAGTCGGATACGTCGATTAGTCGTCGGGTCCGGTACACCCGCGGCCCGTAATACCAGGTGGTATTATCGTGATTACCGCAGATAGGTATGTTATATAATATTACGTACGCCGAGCCGTGTAGTCTCGTTTAAAAAAAAAAAAAAAAAAAATCGACTCGCGCAGTGCACTGGGCCGCCAGACCGTCGTCGTCGGTGTAATACGTTATACGAGCGTAACGGTATTGTTGAGACGACGTAATGTACAGTACGTACAGCAACACTGCGGTAATATTAAATTGACCTCAAAGAGTCGGTCGGACGGAACGCACGGGCCCGGTAGTTCCCAAGGGAGGAGGGGGGAACCCCGTGAAAAGAAGAGCTCCGTCGCTATAGTCGAACGACGTCCTCCACATACACACACACACACACACACACACACACACACACACACCCCTTCTTCCTTCTCCGTCTATTTGGTATTTCGTGGTCGTTTGATAATTGAACGTCTAGCGCCTCAACGTAACGTATAATATTGTAACGATAACCGTAAACGTAATACGCGCGGACGAGTGATGAGATCCGACATCTAGTCGGGTAAAGGCGACGCGACGGTCTGCGGATAGGGTCGATTATGGAAACGAAGGAACGGAACGGGGAGGGGGGAAGGACGGGGGCTAATAAATCAGCCGACAGTATCGTTTAAAGAGAAATAGGAAACGAATACCTGGTCAACGATAACGCGACGAAAAGTTATCGTGGGAATGTCGAGAATTGTGCAGATGCGAAGACGCAGTTCGATTATTATCATTTTCTTTTTTTTTTTTTAACAAAAAGTTACAATAGAAAAACACTTTCAGAATCGACCGCACCAAACCATTGCCGTTACAGAAATATTCTTTATGAAACTATAAAGAAACTAATAGTTTGATAATACGATACTATGTTATAAACTATAGGTAGCTACTATAATTATATTGCTACTTCCGGAAGAAAAAAAAAATGGTGAGATTTGATCGTTACAGTGGTAGGGGTTGAAAGTCGAAACCCCCTAAAAGCACATCCTTGATATATATATACGAAATTACATTCTCCTGACTTTTTTCGGAGGGGTGTGTATAGAAGTGTTCAAAGCTAGGTGAAACCGGCCGACGTGCATGTTTTGCATAACACATTGTGGACTATTTTCAATTGAATTTTCAGAAGGCGCACGGGAAAAAAGCCGTCTCAGTATTTATCACTTAGGTCTTTTTGGATTTGTACACTAAATATACCTATAGCAGTTTATTATTATTTTGAGGGAAACATTATTTGTACGCTCGATTAGTGCGACTTTATCTGTTAAAAATCCTTATCATGTACAACTGGATCCAAACAAATAACAAAAACAAACGGACATACTTCGCACGATAGGTGGACCACTATTGTAGGTGAAAAGCTGGGAAGGTAGTAGGGCAATGTAATGTATATCTGTACGTAACGATTAATCGTTGCTAACAACAAACGATTCCGAGTGGAATTCAGTTACATATGTTTTAAAATTTACGATTCGAAAATAATACATTTTTTCCAATTCATTGGGAAAATCCAGGGAATTACTTACTTGGTATACTATTCCAGTCAAATTTCCTTTCAAAAAAAGCACTACACTTGAAAATCGGAGAAAAATATCTGATAGAAAAGATGTTCACAGAAATAAAAACAATAAATTTAATATCATTAGTGTGTTTTCAACGGTACAATTAAATTGTTCAGATCTAAACGGTCGATTATTGCTGATAACAGTCTGATAAGAAGAGCGTGACGTAAGCGCTAATCGAGTGTATTGTGTACGTAAATAATAATGTAAAAACCTCGGATTGTGTATGTATTCATAATAAAGTAAGTAATCGAAAATTAGCCGCGCACCTTTTTTTTTTTTATTATTATTTCAATACGTGCCGCGCTATACAATACGATAAATAAAAAAAAAAAATCGTACTGCACCGCCCGTATATGCGTATACGTTTGAACACCGCCGCAGCAGCAGCAACATTATCATCGTATAGAACTTGTAATGTTTTATTATTGTCATTGCGCGTTACGATGACGAAACTGTCGGTAAAATATTGTTATTCGTCACGTGTGTGGTGTGTGTGTGTGTGTGTGTGTGTGTGTGTGGGCGAGACGACATGAGAAATAATGGCGACAGACGGGGGACGAAAAAATACGAAAAAAAGAACCAGAAAAAAAAAATATATATACCGACTCGCCGTCGTTGCGGTACGCGGCTCGTGAAAGAATGAGGGGAGGAGGGGAGGAAACCGAAAAAGAACGGTTTGATAAAAAAAAAAAAAAAAAATGCTGACCGTTCCGAATGACGACAACAATATATTATTATTATTATTATTATTATTATTATAATGTCGGTGTCCCGTTCGGGATATTATACGGGGAGGGGGTGGAGGGGAAATAAATAAAAAAAAACCGTAAATATTATAATAGTAATAATGTTAAAATTTAAAATTACATGTGTACGACGACGAATATAACATATTATAATATTATATCGTTTGCAAAACGGTGTCGCGTGGCGCGTCTGCTGCCGCTGCGCGTTCCTCCTCCCCCCCCCCCCCTCCCCCCCCCCCGCTTCCCCTACGCTGGCCCAGACGATAAAAAAAAAAAAACGACCGGCTGCGCAGTCATCGGAATAAAATAATAATAATAATAATACCGTGCGATTAATGCGGGGGGAAAAAAGATTATTGCGACGGACCAACGCGTACACGCGCGTAAACATGGTGGCCACGCAAAATGGCCACGGGTTTCGCGTGGTCGCTATGATATGATATCGACGGGCTCCGGGTAAAAAAACGGGTTTTTTTTTCATCCGGTTCCGTAGAATCGGGAAAAGCTCAGCCGTCGCACCGCAGCACGCTAAACGGACGAATAATACATCAGATTGATTGATTGATTGGTTTTTTTTTTTTCGATGAAACATTCATCAATATTGTATTCCACGTGGGCGCGTAAAAGAAAAAAAAAAATAGACGGACGCATACTCCGGACGACGGGTACACTGTATAATTTAACAGCGCAAACCGTTGGTGACGAAAAACGATTCGGAGGGAGGTTATGTTCTTTCTTTACGCGTAAATATTCCCGATTATCCTGAAAACCGCTTGGAAAAATATCAAAAAAACGTCTTCGCCAAAGTGTCGACCGGACAAAATTTCCTTTCGGAAAAGGTACGGCGTTCGAAAATCGGACCGAGATTTCCGGTAGAAAAAAACCAGATAAAAAAAAAAAATAATTAAATAAACGTCATTATAAAGCCAATACGTTCCCGCGTATACATTTCCGTTTCTCGTTCAAATATTTAACAACGTTGTGTTGGTAATTGGCAACGTGTTAAGCGTTGGAAATAATTAGTTTTACCGTCGCACTTGACTGCGGCCCTTAGCCATCACCCGTCGAATCGGAGTAGGAAATTTTCTGGAAAACGTGAGTCCCGTCGTTTTTTTACAGGGAAACGAAAACCACGTGGAATCGTCCGAGGACACCGAAACGTCCGCGTATGAAATCGAGGGTGGGGGAGGGTCGCGGACTCCATTTCCCCGCGGGAAACAAAAAAAAAATTTAAAAACGTTTTGACGGCGGACGTTAAACCGAAATCGCTTTACGGATCTAACCTAACAAAATTGGCGCAACGTCATTCAGCGAGGGCGTACCGCCGACGGCTTCGAAAAACGACGCGAGGAAATACGCCCGGTTCTTTTTCAATCTTTCTCGCGGATTATAATATTATTATCGTTTACGTACAGGGAAACGGATTCTAGACGCACGGATTATACGAGAAATAAATATAAACTGGACGCACCGACGGTTTTTTTTTTAAAATAACGTACCGCGCCTACACCGCAAGAGAAAATCGCGAAACGTCCGGTCGTAACACAATTACTGAAATTGAAATACGAAAAAACGCGTTTCGGTTAATACGTGCAGCGGGCGTGAGCGGCGCATACGAACGGATCGCGATAATAGACGGATTTTTTTTTTTTTAATTATCCGAGAGCGTTTTTCACTGTTTACACGAGCGGATTTTCAACGAAACGCTGAGAGAGAATACGGCGGCGTATACGTGACGTAGTGCGCGGGTACACTTGCACCGGTTACGGGGGTCAGGAACGGTCGAGAGTGCCACGCGATCGTGTGCGTACATAT